GCCCTGGCTTCTTTCATTTAGATGTGTGTGTGCTATGGATTGAACCCTGAATTGTACCCTCAACTCCCTAAGCATTTTGTGGGTTGGTTTTTTTTGTTTGTTTGTTTTGGTTTTGGTACTGGAACTCAAACTCAGGACCTTGTGCTTGCCAGGCAGGTGCAGGGTCACTAAGCTACATCCTCAGCCCCTAAGCAGTTTATTTTTGAATAGGTGATACTTGCGTATAGTAAAAATTGTAAAAAACACAAAGCAACTTTTTTTTTTTTTTTTTGTAAGTCAGAGTTTTGCTTTGTAGTTCAAGCTGATCTCACTATGTAGCCCAGGCTGACCTTGAACTCACAGGGATCCTCCCACCTTAACCTCCTGGTCTTACAGGTATGTACCACCATGCCCTGTGAAGCTACATTTTTTTTAAAAAAGATAATTCACTGGGTGTGTGTTTTATTTATTTATTCTTTGTTTGTTTGTTTGTTTTGAGATAGAGTCTCTATGCAGGTCAGGCTGGCCTAACTCATTATGTAGCCTAGGCTGGCCTCAAACTCTCAGCAATCCTCTTGCCTCAGCCTCCCAAGGGCTGGGACTGCAGGTGTGCACCACCACACCTGTCAGGTGTGTTTTATTAATCTTTTTTATTTTATGAAAAAACAAAACACTTTCATATCATTATCTTCAAAGTGGTTAACTCAGAGTACAAGACAAAAACCAAAAAAACTCATAAAAAAGAAACATAATAACATGACTCTTTTCAACACAAATAAACTAGTAATATAGTGCTTTTTTTTCTATCTGACTTAGTTCCTCTTCCCAGAGACAGCCACTGTCTCTATTTCCTATGTATCCTTCCAGATATTACCTTCATTTATAAAAATAAATGATAATTTTTCAGTCTTGAGGAAAAATAGATTAATAGTAGGGAAAAAATAGAAAATGATGCAAGAACTCTGAATTCATCATCATAAATGTAGAGTATCTATTAACTGCTTGTTATGAAACAGGAGAAACAATTAGTTTTTTGAAACATGAGGGTAAACACCAGAAGAAATCGCTACAAGACATGAAAATGTTTACTGTAGATGACCTCCCATGGCTAGAATATTACTGTTATTATATATTTATGTATGTAATATTTTGATAGAAAAATTGATTTAAAAAGTAGGAAGTATGGATAAGCAATGAAATGAAAATGCATAATACATATCATGCTCCTACATGTAACTGTTACTGGGTAGCTCCTTCTAAAAGTGGATTGCCAGGGGCTGGGGATTTAGCCCAGTGGTTCCGCCACCTGCCCCACAAGCACAAGGACTGGAGTTCGATCCTTGGTACAAAAAAACCACCAAAAAACAAATAAAAATGGATTGCCAAATAATCATTCCTGAGATTTTTGGTGCTTGTATCTCCTTCTGGAGTTGGAGTCCAGGTTCTTACCTCAAACAAAGAATCAAATGCAGTAAGCAAAAAGCAGTGACAAAGTTTATTTTAAAAAGTAAAAGTGGCCAGGAATTTAGCTCAGTGGCACCATGTCTGCCTGGCGAGAGCAAGATCCTGAGTTCAATCCCCAGCATCAGAAAAAAAAAAAAAAAAAGGGTAAAAGTGAAGAGTGAAGGAGAAACTGGCTCTGGAGAGCCAGCTTGGGCACAGTAAAAGAGGAAAAAAACAAGATAAAAGTATAGTGAATCCCCAGACTTCTTGGAGTTCCTAAAGTACCCATGAATTGTGAAAAACAGCGAATTTCAGATATGGTCAGAAAAATGCCTATAAATGTCTATTTTTATAGTTTAAACCCTGAGGGCTGGGGATTTAGCTCAGTGGTGCTGCTGCCTGCCTCCCAAGTCCAAGGTCCCAAGTTCAATCTCCGGTACCCCCCCCCAAAAAAAACCCCTAAATATGCTGTCTCCTGCAGTTATGTAATTTAATTTAATAAAATACTGTATTAATAAAGGCTTTAGAATGTGCAGGGCATTTTGGTGGCATCTCAGGGATCTTAGAGCTTTAAGAAGAACAAATCCATGGGCTGGGGATTTAGCTCAGTGGTTTTGCCTCCTGCTGCACAAGCGCAAGAACCCAAGTTCAATCCCCGGTACCAAAAGGAAAAAAAAAAAAAAGAAGAAGAACAAATCCAGAATACTTGAGGTAGCTACACTTGGTACAGCAACTTGTTATGATGCAGGAATGCTGATGCATCTGCCAGAGGTGGGTTACAGGGCAGCAGCCAGTCAGCAGCAAGGAGAACTGAATAATGCTTTTAGATTGGCTACTTGCAAACCTCCTGCTAAAAAAAACAATTGCAAGGATATTTGTGGTTTCTGAGAAATTGCGGGGGTTTCTGCAAACAATTTTTAGTTAGGTTCTAAGGAAAAATCTGTTAATGACCGAGGCCAGAAACTGAACTGTGACTTTGCCAGGTATACTGTACACCCAGAAGGATGCAGGGTGGGCTAGCGTGAGGAAAGCCACAATAGCAAGCTCTTCTTGGCACCTGTGTCCTTTTATACCATCCAAATCTCAAGGAAACCCACAAGAACTTCATATGGGTCCTGAGAGGCAGTGCCAGGATCCCACATCTCAGGCTGATGTCTGGTCCAGGCCATCCTTTTGGAAACCATCCTATTGCTTGAGTTCTCACAAGAAGCCCACCTGCAGGGCTTTGGGAATTGTTCTGCATATATATGTTCTGGGATCTTTTAATTAACAGATTGGGCCTGCTTCCCCAGCTAGCTTTGCCACATCTTTTTTTTTTTTAATTTTTTTAATGTTGGTTACTCCTTTATTTCCAACAATAATTCATATGTGACTTTTTTTTTTTTTGGTACCAGGGATTGAATTCAGGACCTTGTATTGGCAAGGCAGGCGCAGTGCCACTGAGCTAAATCCCCGGGCCTCCCACATCTTAGTCTCCTATCTCATAACCACTAATATAGTTAGTTTATTTAATTCTTTTTTTTTCCTTTTTTAGTCAGTCCTAGGATTGAACCCAGAGCCTTTGCCCTGAGCTACACCCTCAGCCCTTTTTTATTATTTATTTTGAGACAGGCTCTTGGTAAGTCACTAAGTTGCCCAGGTTGGGTTTGAACTTGTGATCTTCCTGCCTAGCTTCTATATTTTTTAAAATAGTGAAAATGAGCTTATCTTGTATGTATTTTTGAAACTTTGGTTTTTCTACTTTAAAGTATATTGTGAATGTTTTTTCAGGCCTATATTTTCTTTCTTTTTTTTTTTTTTTTCCGGTACTGGGGATCAAACTCAGATCCTTGCACTTGCACAGCAGATCAGCAGGCAGCGAAACCACTGAGCTAAATCCCCGGTTCTCAGGCCTATATTTTCAATCCTACGTTTAAGGATCTTTTTTTTTTTTGGTACTGGGGATTGAACCCGGAGCCTTACGCTAAAGTACCTCCCCAACCTACCCCCACCTTTTATTGTTTTTAATTCCTCCCTTTTAAAGATAGATGTCACTGTATCACTAAGTTTCCTAGGCAGGCCTGGAACTTGCAGTCCTACGTCAGCCAGAGTCCTGGGATTACAGGTGTGGATGCCTGGCAAAGTTTTCCATAATCTGACCTTAATACAGGATTTCAGATTTCTACCAGTACTTTTTAAGCACCTTTTTCTTTTTAAGCAGTAGCAAAGTTTTATTAAAGTTAGAAAAGAAATAGGCTCTGCAGAGTGAGTTTGGGCCAAGTAAAAGTAGGAACAGAAGCACGCCCTACAGAATGAGGGCAGGCCACCTGCAAATAGCACAGTGGCCAGCATCATTCTCTTTTGCCTTGAACTGGAACTGTTTGCTGTGCTGTCTAGCCATCCTTTTCTGCTTGTACCCATTTTCCAGTCTTGGCCCAACATATTTAGCTTACATTATTTCCCTCAATCGAAATGCCTGTCTGGGATTGTGTCTGCTTATTGACATTATGACAGAATTTGTGGAGTAGTGGAAGTTACACGTTGAAGAATGCTGGGTTCGGGCCAGCAAACCCTCATAGAGAGATGAGTGAAAAACATGAGAGGCAAAGAATATCTTTGAGGAGGGTCAGGGGACCCCACCAAAATGGAGCCCCAAACTGACTCAAACTCCCAGATTTATTGAGGAAGAACAAAGGCATAGATTTCTGCTGAGCACAGATGTTTAAGTAGCAAGGCAGGTTATAGGGATGGTGACAGTTTGGCTGAATAATTTTTATCTGATTATCCCTTAGGAAGCTTCCTTGTTTTCCCCCTTGTAAGACCCATCTCTGCTAGAGTTGGCAAAACATCCCATCTTCAAGATGTTCCGGCTCCTCAGAGTTGGCAATCTTCTGCCCACCCCCACCTCCACCCCCAGTCAACCTGAACAGATGTTGACCCATTGGGTGTTGCAAGGAGCTCCACAAAGAATCGGGGGGGGGGGGGGCTGGTCGTAAAGTCATGTGACTCAGGAGCTGCAGGACTTTGATGAAGTCTCTTCTCTGAGTCAGATTTTCTCAACTGTAAATGAGGGCATGGAGTTAAATGTTGACTATCCTGTGGTTATAACTACTGGAGAAAATTACGTACTAGAAGGTTTTAAAATCTGAGATCCATTACATTGGCTGTTATGTAGCTTGATGTGAACTGAAGCTGGATGGTTGTGAAGCCCAAATGAAAGAATTTATGTGAAAAGTTTTGGAAATATTAATTTAATGCCTAAATGTAGCTGGTGGTGTAGCAGATAAAGCAGAGTATAGGGGAACTGTCAGTGAGAGAAAGAGGGCTGTTCTGAGAGGTGATGGTTTAATTATTAAAATATTTTAAAGAATGTCTCAGGAGGGCCAGGGATCTTGCTCAGTGGTTGCGCTGCCTGCCTTGCAAGCAGAAGGACCCGAGTTCAATCCCCAGTACCAAAAAAAAAAGAAAGTTAAAAAAAAAAAAGAATGTCTCAGGACTTCAGCTGCCCTGAGTTCCACCTGAAACTTAGATACTGCTCTTGTTGCTTTTCTGAGGGGGGGAGAATGGTGGATCTGATTTCTTCTCTTTTGTTCCTACAGCTGTATTATCAAGTCCTAAATTTTGGAATGATTGTCTCCTCGGCACTAATGATCTGGAAGGGGTTAATGGTAATAACTGGAAGTGAAAGTCCAATTGTAGTGGTGCTCAGGTAATAATTAATTTTTCTTTTCAAGGCATGGAATTGCATGGCATTGCTTGGAGGAAAATTGAGATACTGAGTGACTAGCATGTCAGTCCCTTAGAAACTACTCTTTCTCAGAAGTGGGCCTGGGAGAAAATTAGTTAGTACTTCTCAATTGTGAGAAATTTTCAACCTTGTTAGATGCACCCTATCAGAGCCCCAAAAGGCCTATGACCTTTCCATAAAAAGGTTACTAGGAGAGCTTTATTTTTGGTTCATCCCATAAAAAAATGTTTCCTTGCACTTTATTTTCCTGAAATTCTTCTGTCTTACACTGCTCACTTTGATACACCAGGCCTGGTATTGTTAGTTCATTAGATTTTATAGTACCTCCACAAATGAGTTTTACTGCAGCATGTCCTCAGTGTTAATTCAGAAGCCTTACTAATTACTTCTAAACTAGACTTCAGGAATTTTGAAGGTATTAGTACTGTCTCATAAGGTGACAAATAATACTGAATTTTTTTTCTTTACTCTGCCTCCTTCCCTATTTTTTCAATCATATGTTTTATTTTTATATATTTATTTTTTGATACTGGGGGTCAAACTCAGGACCTTGCGCTTGTGAGGGGGTGCGGTGCCACTGAGCTAAATCCCCGGCCCTCATACATTGTAATTTTAAAACCTAATTTAGCAACTCTTTTTTTTTTTGGTACTAGGGATTGAACTCCAGTCCTTGCACTTGCGCACCAGGTGGTGAAACTACTGAGCCAAATCCCCAGCCCCTAGCAACTCATTTTTGGAGAATTTGCCATATGGTTATCTTATTGAACCATCATAGCACTGTCTTATTTTGTGGTTAATACTCTATTTCAAATCCTTTCTAGAACTCAGTGTGGTGATGCATGCCTGTAATCTCAGCACTTGGGAGGCTGAGGCAGGAGGATCACCGCAAGTTTGAGGCCAGGCTAGGCTACATAGTGAGTTTAAGGCCAGCCTGAACTACATAGTGAGACCCTGCCTCAAAATAAAAACCAACAAGGCTGGGGATTTAGCTCAGTGGCACTGTGCCTGCCCTGCAAGTTCAAGGTCCTAAGTTCAATACCCAGTACCAAAAAAAAAAAACCCAACAGCAAAAAATAAAATATGTGGCCCTAAGTTCCTCATCTTATTCAGTGGAAGCTTTGATTTCTGTCAGATAAAGAAGCCACACTAATTGGCACTCTGGAGAAAAGGAATAGAGAGAGAGCCTGGGGAGGCTTCTGGAAGAGATTCTTCTAGGGTCATTTCAGGTAGAATTCCCTCAGGGCAGATATTGAAGGATGTCCTAGTTACTTTTCTTACTGCTGGAACCTAATACCCAAAACCCACAAGTTAAGGGAGGAGAGGTTTATTTAGCTCACAGATTGCAGAGGTTTCAGTCTATAATCGGCTGGCTCCAAGCCAGGGTAGCATGGCAGACAGGCATCACAGAGGAGAAACAGTTCATGGCGGGCAGAAGGTGGCAAAGTAAGCAAGAGATAAGACAAAATTGCATCTAGGCTACCAGGATTAGGGTTGTGCCAAACCAATCAGCAGTCTGATTTAGTAATCACCCACCCTTAATCCTAGCATCACCATGAACCAATCACACAATCTAGATTCAGCCACCTCTGAAAAAGCCCTGTCTACAACTGCATGAGACTTTGGGAGGACCGCTAGACAAAAGCCATAACAAAGGACAATGGACCTGTAACCTGCGGTGGTAGATTTAATAGAATTAGACAAGAGGACTTGCTCAAAACATTGGAATCCTGAATGTAGCAAACTTACAGAATATATGTACTATTAGTTGGTACATAAAAGTGATATTTGGACTAAATTAACTGGTAGCAAGTTTTTTGGGTTTTTTGAGACAGGGTCTCACTGTGTAGTTCAGGTTGGCCTTGAACTCACCATGTAGCCCAGGGTGGCCTTGAACTCATGGGATCCTCCTGGCTCACCCTCCCAATTGCTGAGATTACAGGTGGGCACTACGTCACCTGGCTTAGCAAGGGTACTTGTATACTAAGTTCTTCTGATTGCCAAGAAAGCAAGGAAATTAAGAGCAATCAGTATTAGGGGAGAACCTGGTCAAGAGGAAGGAAGAGCTGTCTTTAGAGAAAGGTGCAACTTTATGGGATAGGGTGGCCAGGTAGGTTTTACCTGGCCAGGGTTTTGTGAAACTTAAAGGAATATAATTTTTACCTATAACCAAATGTGCCTCAGAGGATCATGCTGACAGAAGGCGCTTTAGGATTTTTGTGAAACCTTGGGAATAAGGACAAGTACTTTCATATTTATTTTATTGACTTAAGTTTCAGATAACATTTAAAACTGACTTTTCCCCTTTATAGAGCTGAAGTTCATTAAAAATACTAGCCTAGGGCCAGGGATTTACCTCAGTGGTGCCACCGCCTGCCTCATAAGCACAAGGTCCCGAGTTCGATCCCCAGTACCAAAAAAAAAAAAAAATTAGCCTGTATTTTATGTAACTTCTAAAATTTTCTTCCTCAGAAAATTAAGAGTAGCACTGTCATATGATCCCGCAGTCCCATTACTGGGTGTACATCCAGTGGAAATGAAATCAGTATGTTGAGATGACACCTGCACTCTATGTTTATTGCTGCACTATTCACATTAGCCAGGAAATGGAAACAACCTAAGTGTCCATCAAATAACCAATAGATAAAGAACATGTGATACACCTATAAACCATGGAATACTATTCAGCCCAAAAAAGGATTAAATCCTGTCATTTGAAACAATATAATGGACCGGGTAGTCATTATGTTACATAAAATAAGTTGACCATAGCATGATAATGCACACCTGTAATCCTAGCACTTCAGGAGGCTGAGGCAGGAAGACTGCAAGTTTGAGCCCTATATGGGGAACTTATGATTTGGTAAGACTGTGTGTCAGAATAAAAAGTATACAAGGTCTGAAGATGTTGCTTGGAGTAAAGGCCCTGGGTTCAATCCCCAGTACTACCACCAAAAAGAAGGGCAGAGCACAGAAAGACAAATAGCATATGATCCCTCTTAAGAGGAGAATGCTGGCTACCTAGGACAGGAGGGGACAGGAGGGGTGGGGAAAGTATTAAGTTATAGTACATGAGTACTATAGTCCATGAGTACTAAATTCTAGTTATAAGGAATAAGTTATAGTGTTCTGTTACATGATGGGTTGACTATAAGTAATGGTAATGTACTATATATTTCAAAAAAGCAAGAATAAAGGATTTTGAATGTTTTTACCACAAAGAAGTGATAAATATTTGAAGAGATAGATATATTTACCCTAATTTAAACATTGTATAACATGTGTGTGAAAACATCACATGGTACCCCGTATATATGTACAGTTTTTGTCAGTTAAAAAAAATTAAATTTGTCATGATGGATACATTAAATTTGAAAGTATAATTTAACCAGGTGCTCATAGGAAGTCCTTTTGTAATTTACTTAATGTTTAAAAAGTTTTCCCCAGTTTATTCCTTTAATAGTCCTCTCAGGCAAAGGGTGTAGCTTAGTGGTAGAGTGCTTGTCCAGCATGCTCAAGGCCCTGGGTCTGGGTTTGGTCCCCAGCACCATACCCTCAAAAAATTAATAACAAGGGGCCGGGGATTTAGCTCAGTGGTTTCACCGCCTGCTGCCAAGCACAAGGACCCGAGTTGGATCCCCGATACCCCCAAAAAAAAAAAATTAATAACAATGAAACTTTTAAATGGTCCTCTCACTACATAACTTGTATATGTTTTTAATTGCCCTCTATTTCTAAATTCCTAAATCTTTTTGTTTCTTTGGGGGGTGGATACTGGGGACTGACCCTGTGGCCTTGGTACTGAGCCACACCCCTAGCCATTTATGTATTTATTTTTATTTGGGACAAGGTCTCATTGAGTTGCCTGGGCTGGGCTTGAACTTGGGATCCTACTGCCTCGACTTTTTGTTTCTCACCACCCTTTCTTTCCTGAAGTGTAGCCACTCGTGTTCACTTGTTCTGGATGTTGACCAGGCATGCGACATTACATTAATAAAAGTGAAATTCATCTCTTTTACTCAGAATCTTTCTCTTCTATTTCTGTCACTATCACTATGACCTGCTTACAGTGGGCCTTTGACTTACAAACTCACTTTGTTCCCCAGGGCTGGTTGTAACTCAGGTTGGTCAGTGAAGGCTCAGGCTCCTCTACAAGTCTTCAAAGTCTCTTCTGTACACAGGCAGATCTCAGTGCCGTAGAGAGACACTACCCCAGGATTTCTCAGCCCCACACAGGAAACAATGTTGTAATGTTCCTTCCAGAACTCTTTAAGGGTTAAACCTGTATCTGAGACCATCTGGAAGCACAAGTGGCCGGCATTTAGATCATAACTCAAGACTTTGGTCTTAAGTTAAAACTCAAATTCTGGTCATAACCCAAGTTGTTTGTACGTCAGGCTGGTTGTAACTCTAGGGTCCCCTATAATTGCCAGTGTTAAAAACCAAGAAGGCATTCTTTATTCTCCCTTCTACCTATTTGGCCAATTTTGTTATTTTCTCTCTCTCCATTCTAGCACATTAGTTGTTCTCCCTGTTGTTCTATTTTAGGTCCTCATCATTTCCTGCGTGCACTATTGTAGTGACCTTTAAAGAAATGCTTTTATAATCAGAAAAAGTTAATATATTTTCATTAGAGGAAATGTAGAAAACACACAAAAAGTCTAGATGATACCATTACCCATAATTCTGAGATATAATCACTATTAACATTTTAGTCTCCTTTTCATGTACATTTTTTACATATTTGAAGTAATTATGTATGTGCATCCTCTATTTTTCTTATTATTTGTGTATATCCATGTTTATAAAGAGTTTTACATAACATTTTCAATAGTTAACAAGTATTCAATTATAATGACCAAGTATTCTATTATTATAATACCTGAACAGCTGGTCTCCCGGTCTACTCTCATATTTTCCAGTTTGCTCATTAACTTACCAAGTACAGAGTGTCTTTTGTGTAATAGCTTTTGAAAGGATCTCTGGTACATACACAGTTATGGTTTTCCCTGCCTAAAATTCTGCAGTGGCTCAGAGACAGTTTAGCACAGTGACAGTAGATTCTACTGGTTCAAATCTACTGATTCCCCTGATTCCCCTGGTTCAAATCTCACCTGTATCTTTTTTTTTGGTACCGGGGATCGAAGTCAGGACCTTGCACTTGCAAGGTAGGTGCAGCGCCACTGAGCTAAATTCCTGGCCCAACTTGTATCATTTTATTTATGTGCAACTTTAGCCCTTGTCAGGCTCAGTCTCCTTGTGTGTTAGCTGGAATAATAGTACTACCTACATCATAGAGTTGGTTTGAAGATTATTTTTAGCATAAGTAGAGTAATCCTAGCTACACAGAAGGCTGAGGCAGGAGGAGCCCAAGTTTAAGGCCAGCCTGGGCAGTTTAGACCCTATCTCAAAGTAAAAGAGGCTGGGAATGTAGCCTAAAGGTAGAGCACCTCTGGGTTCAATGCCCATTACTGCCAAGAAAAGAAAAGAAAAACCTTAAAATAGCACTTTGCATACAGTAAATGCTCAATAAAGATGATTTAATCAGAGCAAGTCAGCTTTTATCTGGTTTGTTTTGTTTTGTTTTGAGTCAGAGTCTCACTGTGTAATTCAGGCTGGCCTTGAACTCACTCTGTAACCCAGTCTGACCTCCAACTCACTGGATCCTCCTGCTTCAGCCTCCCAAGTGGGGAATTACAGGTGTGCATCACCACACCTGGCTTACCTGTTTTTATATACTTTTTCAAATATGATTTTATTTGAAGAAAAAGTATTGCTGCTTTAAAGAATTAAAGTAAAGGGCCGGGGATTTAGCTCAGTGGTTCTGCCGCCTGCCTCGCAAGTGGAAGGACCTGAGTTCGATCCCCGGTACCAAAAAAAAAAAAAGAATTAAAGTAAAAACTTGAAAAGTTTGTGTCTAAAATAATCTTCTGTAATTGTCAAACAACGGTCCATCTTCAAACTGAATACCTTCTGAAAAAGAGCACTTGCTGCCCTGTGAGAAACTAACAAAAGCTTTAAGAATAAAAATTGCAAAAAAAAAATAATAATAAATAAATAAATAATAAAAAAGAGAATAAAAATTGCACTAAATCTACATTCCTAGTAGTTTCTAAATTTTGTTGTACAATAGAATCATCAGGGATTTTTTTTCCCTAGTACTAGGGATGGAATCCAGGGCCTTTGCACAGAGTTACATCCCCAGCCTTTTTTATTTTTATTTTAAGACAGGGTTACTAAGTTGTCCAGGCTGGGCTTGAACCTGCAGTCCTACTGCCTCAGCCTGCCAGAGTGCTAGGATTGCAGGCCTGCACTACCATGCCTGGCTATTTGGTTTTTTTGTTTATTTTTTATTTTGAGACAGAGCCACACTTTGTTCCCCAGATTGGTCTCAAACTCCTTTGCTCAAATCAGCCCCCCTTCTCAGCCTCCCAAGTAGCTGGGATTACAGGCAGGTGACACCATTGCGGTGGGAGGGGTGGGGGGGTTGTAAAATGCCTTCCTCACTTTCCCAGGCATTCTAATGTAAATGGTTTGGCATATCCCCTGGGCTAAATTTCCCAGGTTGTTCCAATGTTCAGCAGTTCCGGGAAACACCATGTGCTGTTATCCCTTTATATCGAAGGATGACAGTCTTCAAAAATATTTGTACCTTGACATTATTCCTGTTTTTAATTTTATTTCCTGTCTGTTTTCTTCTTACAAAAGCTATTGTGCTTGAAAACTGGAGCCCTAAGTTCCTGAAAATACACTGCAGGGCTTCATCTTCATAGAATAAAAGAGTTCATATCGATGCAGATATAAGATCTTTTTAGAACTTGGTGTGGGGTAGAGGAAGGATGCTCTGTAGACATTTGCTCACTTTACCATAAAATTGAATGCTTTCCTGGTTTCTGACATTCTTAAGCAAAAATCTTTGCTCTAGTCCTTCATTTTCTTTCTGTTTTAAAAATAAATTGATAACACAATGTTATCTTTGTACTGACTGTTGATGAGCTGTTTTCCTCTGCACTGGTTTGAACCTGTAAGGTCATCTCGGTCTGTATCTTTATAAATGGCAAAAGAAGATGATCCAGTTTTCATTTGAATATGTTTAGTGTTTTCAGATGAAGTGAGAATAAGGGCAGTGTTTTTAAAGTTCATTCTCTTGTATTGTTTGTCATTTGAAATTTTCAAAGGTTAAGGAGTTACTAACACTGCCCTTTTCAAGACTTAAGCTTCTTTGAATAGTAATGCGTGACATGGAACTAGTTTAGCAAAGGCTTATAACTAAAAAAAAAAAAATCATTTATTAGTCTTAGGAGACTGTATGTGAGAATAACACTAATTTATGCTGATGGGGTTGTTACAGCATCTCCTGTACTATAAAGGTGCTACTTTATCAATGTCTACTTTTGGAAGTAAATGTAATCTCCTACTTTCCTTTTGCTGTTCTGTTCTTTCCCTTTCAGCGGCAGCATGGAACCTGCATTTCACAGAGGAGACCTTCTCTTCCTAACAAATCGAGTTGAAGATCCCATACGAGTGGGGGAAATTGTTGTTTTTAGAATAGAAGGAAGAGAGATTCCTATAGTTCACCGAGTCTTGAAGATTCATGAAAAGTATGTGTGAAATACATCTTCTCCATTTTTTAGTATTTTTGTTTGTTTTGTGGTATTTAATTTTGATAGCATAAAGATTGTGAAAGTATAAGGACCTAAGACCTTCTTCCAGCCCATTTTTGTGAATGTCTGACCACCTGGTGACATTTGGAAAGCTGTAAACAGTTATTTATTGTTCATCTCTTTCCCTGGAGATTTTTCCATAAGTAGGTCTCAGTTCTTTCTTACTTCTTACCAGTTGGTAAGTCTGTACTGTATGTATAACTCCCAAAACCATGATACAATGATTAATTCTAAACAGGATATTATGGGATAATATAATAAGGTAGCCCAGTCTTTAAAAAAAAAATCCAGGGCCAGGGATTTAGCTCAGTGGTTCTGCTGCCTTCCTCGAAAGCACAAGGTCCTGAGTTTGATTCCTGGTACCAAAAAAAATCCATAAAGAAATCTAACAGACATTTCAAATAAGAGTAAATTTATCAACTTTGAAAATCAAAATTTCTGAAATGGAACTGGGCATAGAAGCACATGCTAAGGCAGGAGTATTACCTATAGTTTGAGGCCGGTGTAGGCAGGCCACATAGTAAATTTAAGGCCTGCCTGGAATACATAGCAAGACCTTGTCTCAAAAAAACAAAATAAATTTGAAATCAGAGTTACTTTTCCTTGTTTTGGGGGGGTGATTTTTGTGTGGTTTTTTTTGGGCGGGGGGTTGAGACAGGGTCTCACTGTATAGTTCATGCTGCCCTTGAACTCCAGTATGTAGCCCAGGCTGGCCCCAAACTCACAGCAATCCTCCTACCTCAGCCTCCTGAGTGCTGAGATTACAGCCATGCGCTACCAGACCCAGAAAACTTGCTTTTCTAAATATAGTCTTATGTTTATTTTTTGCTGAATAGAGGATTGAACCCAAAGCCTTCACATTGAGCTACATTCTAGCATTTTTTTAAATTTTACTTTTCATTTTAAGACAGAGTCTTGCTAAGTCCCAGGCTGGACTTGAATTTGTGTTCCTCTTTGCCTCAGCTTCCCAGAGTTAGGATTATAGGCATGTGCCGCTGCACCCAGCAGTCGGTTTGAGGCAGAGTGTCACTATGTAGCCCAGGCTGGCCTCAAATTTGCAATCTTCCTCCCTTATCCTCCTGAGTGCTGGGTTGCAGTTGTGTTCCACCACATTTGGCTGAATCTTGTTTAGGGACTTTATGATCACTTCAGGATGGAGGTGAGGTGTAACAATGAGCAAAAACTTTCTCCTCTCTGGGTCTTAGTTTCCTCACCTGGAATATGAAGAGGTCAGGAAGATGAATTAAAAAACGTTTCTGGGTCTGTGGTCCCAATCCAGCTACATACTCCTCTCCTTCCCTTCCAGAACTGGGGAGATTCTAGTGAAGAAAAACTTTGATAGGGAAAGGAAGAAATGAGAAAAAGGAGATGTCCTGGAGGATACAGAGAAAGTGAACAGTCATGTTGATTTAGGGTGTTAACTAGGAGAAAGCTCTAAATATATATTGTCTTATTGTTACCACTTTATGAAGGAGTTGATATTTCTGTGTTTAAAGAAGCCTGGACTTGGCCGGGGATTTAGCTCAGAGGTTTCGCCACCTGCTGCACAAGCGCAAGGACCCGAGTTTAATCCCCAGTACCAAAAAAAAAAGAAGCCTGCACTTGGTGGCAGGCCCTTATAGTCCCAGCTAAAGAGAGAAAGCTAGCTAGTTGGGCATGGTGGCACGTGCCTTAATCCTAGCACTCAGGAGTTTAAGCCCACCTTGGGCTGCATAATGAGTTCAAAGCCAGCCAGAACTACATAGGAGGATCCTGTATGAAGGAGGAGAAGGGGGGGGGGGGGACTGCCAACCATTGTTTTTTAATTTTTAAGAAATTTAAAAACAAATTTTATATTGTCCCATTTCCCCTTCCCCATATGCCCCCTCCCCTTCCTATGTACAAAAGGTTTGTTTCCATTTTTTCCTTCTATTTTCACTTTTTTCTTGTCCCTTTCTTTGTCCCTCCTCCCTCTTTCTACTTCCCATTTGAACATTTTCTTCCCATTTCCCAATATCTATTATACATTTTAGTCTTTACTTCCACTTTCAGTTTCTCACACCAGAGAAACAATGATATTTAAACGTGTGTAACTGTGCTTCTATAAACATGGGTGTGCATATATCAACCGTTGCTTTTTTTTTTTTTGTACCAGGGATGGAACTCAGGACCTTGCGCTTGCAAGGCAGGTGTGGTGCCACTGAGCTAAATCCCCAGCCCTCAACCATTGTTTACTCCTTGAAGACAGATACATTATTCCACCTGCATTTGGCTTTTGGGGTCTTCTTTTCTCATCTGTGACGTGGTTATTTCATCTTCCTGATGTCACAGTATTGTGATGGGTGGGTTAAATTTTAAAAGCTTTGAGCAGCTGAGCATGGTGGCAAATGCCTGTAGGCCCAGCACTTTGGGAGGCATGAAGATTGAGCCCACACTGGACAATTTAGTGACTTAGCAAAAACCTGTCTCAATAAAACATAAATAAGGGCTGAGGTGGTAGCGCAGTGGTGAAGGCCCCAGGTTCAGCCTCCAGGACTGCCCCTCCAAAAAAAGCTCTGACCTCTTTGAAGGAAGATAATATTAAATATTTGGCCTCTCTGCTAGCAAGGGATAAATCCTGTGTAAGTTATTTCTGATTAGGGTTTTGAGCTTATCAGTTATGAAGTGCTGGAGTAGGTCTTTATAAATCTATAAAGAACTTGATACCACCAGGGGCCGGGGATGTAGCTTGGCGGTGCAGTACCTACCTGGCAAGCGAGAGACCCTGAGTTTGATTCGCAGTACAAAAACAAAATACTTGACACTACCAGTATTGAGCAGATGAAGAAAATTTATGCAATTTAAAAAGCTATAGCAGGGCCGGGGATTTAGCTCAGTGGCACCGTGCCTGCCTCACAAGCGCAAGGTCCTGAGTTTGATATCCCGCCTCCCCACCCCGTGCCAAAAAAAAAAAAAAAAAGCTGTAGTGATTTCTCTCTAACTGCAGGCCACTAGGGGGAAATTGGATGTTTGATTTTGTTTGTTTGTTTTGTTTTGGTATTTTCCTGTCAAATCAAGTCTTTAGGAATAGCCCAGATCTGTAGCATTCCTTCCCTTCCCTTGGAAGATTTCCGGTTTCCTATTCTTTCTCTTCCTCTCTCATTTTATTTTTCTTCGTCTGGGGTGTTGGTGTGTTTTCCTGGTTGAACTGACTTCCTGCTACTCTTTCACTCTTGTGACCAGCTGCTGTTGGTACCTGTCCTATTTTGCCCTCCAGGATTTTTCAGACATTCTTTCACTTGCTGAATTGTCAGCCAGGTTACTTTTCTCTGTGTATATTTGCATTTTTTCCTAACTGGAATCTCATTTTTAATGTGATTTTTGCACTTAGCTATCTTTAGTGTGTGCAGCACCTCCCAGTACAGTTTCATCTGCAGATTTAGCATCTGGGGAGCCAGTTTCTAGAGCCAGTTTAGAATCCGAGTGGATAATAGTAGAAAACTGAGGCTAATGTTCTTCCTTCTAGTTCAGTAGTTAACTCAGAGACACTTGAATTAATTGTAGGCTGGTATTTATTACTGTAAAGTATGCTTTGCTTTTTTTTTGGTACCAGGGATCAAATGCTTTACTTTTGATTAAACTTTAAAATTACTAGACTCTGGCATAGTGGTGCACACCTGTAATCCCAGCACTCAAGAGGCTGAAGCAGGAGGATCACTGCGAGTTCAAGCCAGTCTTAACTATAGTGAGACCCTGCCTCAAAAAACTAAAATAAAATAAAATAACTCGAAGCTTCATGATTCCTTAGTAAATTAGTAATTTGTTTTTTGTTTTTTGCCTAGACCCCCATTGGGGTTGGTTTTTGGGGGGGGGGGTTGGTACCAGGGATCAAATTTAGAACCTTGCGCTTGCAAGGCAGGCACAGCACCACTGAGCTAAATCCCTGGCCCTAGTAATTTTTTTTGATTAAGCAAGATGCTATTCTTATACATCCCTGGCATGTCTGCAGAATTGGAATGTTTCTTGCACTCCTGTAATCCTAGGACTTTGGATGGCTGAAGCAGAAATATTGCAAGTTCAAACCTAGATAGGCCAATTTAACAAGACACTATCAGAAAAAGAGAAAAAACAAAAGTTTTTCCTTTTAAAACTAGTCCTAGCAAAGAAAAAAATAAGATAATGGTTAGCTATAGAAAGCCATAAATAGCGACTGTTTATATCCTGATCTATTCTTCTAGATGTTTTGTTTTATTTTGTTTTGTTTTTTGAGACAGGGTCTCACTATGCATATAATTCAGACTCGCCTTGAACTCATGGCAGTCAATCCTCCTGCCTCAGCCTCCTTAATGCTGAGATCATAGGCATGTGCCACCATGCCCAGCTCTAATCTTGTGGAGTGTTTTGTTTTGTTTTATTTTGAGATGAGGTCTCCCTGTGTAGTTCAGGCTGACTTGCCACCACACCCGACATCTGGTGTTCTTTTTAAATTTAGTGATTTTATAGCCTGAGGAGTGTACTGAAACCCCATGTGTCTGTTCCTCATTGCAGTGATTAATATGTAGCCAATCCTGCCGTATTCTATACTCATATGCTTCCCCTCAAATCCTCAATGTTATGTCATATATAAATATATTAGTAAATATCTATAAAGCTTAATTACTAGGTTGTTAGCGTGCATGAACACTAATCTTTTGGTATTGTTTCCAACCTTTGTTCAGATTCCATATTACATATTAGCTTTTTCTGTTTGAATCCAGATCCAAAGAGGTTTTCAGCTGCAGTTGGTTGATGTGGCTTTATAAGTTTCTTATTTCATCTAGGTAGAAACCCTTCCCCAACTTTCTTTGTTCCTTAGAATTTCTTTTTTTTTTTCTCATTCATTCATTTTATTGGTACATTTTAGGTATATAATTAGAATTTCTTACTTGAAGAAACTGGTCATTCTGTGTTTTCCCACAGTCTGTATTTTGCCAGTTACATACTGAGGAGCAATTCAATGTGTTTATATATTTGTTCTTTATATTTCCAGAAAATGTCATTTATGTATGTCTTTTTTGTTTATTTTGTTTTGTATTGTTTTGTTGGTACCAGGGATCGAACTCGGGACCTTGCACTTGCAAGTCAGGCAGCAGAACCACTGAGCTAAATCTCTGGCCCCCTTTTTTGTTTGTTTGTTCATTTTGGTACTGGGGATCGAACTCAGGACTTTGCACTTGCAAAGCAGGTGCTGCACCACTAAGCTAAATCCCTGACCCCATTTATATGTATCTTAATGTAAAAATGAGATTATACTGTATGTGCTATTTTTTCACTTTTTCTTTATTTAAATTCATATAATCTCTCAGTAAGTACTCTTCTACAGCATTGTTCTTTTTATTTATTTTTGGTTTTTTGAGACAGGGTCTCACTATGCAGTTCAGGCTGGACTTGAACTCACTGTGTAGATGAGGCTGGCCTTGTTATTGCATTGATCTTCCTGACTTAGCCTCCTGAGTGCTGGGATAACAGGTGTCCGCCACCATGCTCATCTTATAGCATTGTTCTTGATCCTTGCATAGTATTTCAATTCCTTAATGCTGGACTTTTTAAAAAAAAATCTTTATAAGCAGCACAATTAGCATCCTTTTAGCTAGTTAAAGATTATTAAGAGTGGTAATAAAATATCCCAGGACCACAGGAATTTTTGCTTAACGAAAGCAAAATTTTGTCTTTCAGATGCCTTGATAACTTGAGTTTCCCTTACTCTTTTAAGGCAAAATGGCCATATCAAGTTTTTGACCAAAGGAGATAATAATGCTGTTGATGATCGAGGCCTCTATAAACAAGGACAACACTGGCTAGAGAAAAAAGATGTCGTGGGGAGAGCCCGGGGGTGAGTATTGGGGAACGAGCATGTTGAGCTTTTCCTGCCTCCCAAAACATAGCCCTTGGGTCGGCCTGTCTGATCTTTCACACTGAGTGCCTGGCAGTTTGGTCTTGGTTCCACCGAAAAACCTGTGTCCTTTGTTACCTCAAATGCATCTAAACCTTCGGGTTACTACTCCAGAGGGAGGAACTGGGTTACGGAAAAAGAACAATATAAGGGGTAAGATGGCAAATTAAACATGACAGCTTTAAAAGTTCATTTGTTGATTCAGTTCACTCAAAAGATGTTATTGGAACACACACCTGCAATCCCAGCACTCAGGAGGCTGAGGCAGGAGGATCACCGAAAGTTTGAGGCCACCCTGGACTACATAGTGAGTTCAAGGTCAACCTGGACTACATAGCGAGACCCTGTCTCAAAAAGCCAAAAACCAAAGATGTCATTGGGTGCCTTTTGTGTGTTCTGATACCTGTGCCCAGCTAGGCTGTGGAGTCCAGAGCAGAATTAGTCCTGCTTTGAGAAGCCTCACTTCTTAGAGATTTACTGAGTTACAGTGTTCATTTAACTTAGTTTTGTCATGCTCATTTATTCCATACTGTTTTATTTCTAGTCTTTAAATTGATGGGGTCAAATGAAATTTTTAAAATTATATTAAGCCTGTTTATTTCAGATTTTATCAGGAGAACAGATCAGTGGAGGACAGGAATTGTAAGTTATGGGTATAAGGAAGTATGGAATTGTTACTATCTTAATGTTATTAATAGTATTAACAATATCTCACCTTTGTCAGGGCTTACTACATACCAGAGACTCACTGTAAGTGCTTTATAAGTATTACCTCATTTTAACCTCAAAACAACCCTGAGATTCCCATTCCACAGATGAGGAAACAGACAAGTTCATGTGCTTATCTAAGATCACACTGATGGCAGTAAGTGGGCAGCGTCTCCAGAGCCCAGTCGCCTAAGGAACACATCCAAATTCCTGTCCCCGTGTTTCTGAAAAGGGTAGTTGCTGTTTCTCACTGTGTAGGTCCCTCATGGCATGTCCTGTCAGCCCCTCTGGTCCTACTAAGCTAGAATAGACTGGCTGCAGAACTAGTGGTGAGCAGGCACCACACTGAGAAACCCTGTCCTGTTGCTAATTGAACGCTGCCTGTGCACCTACATGAAAGATGCTTAGATTGGGGTGAGGGAGATTGGATTAGAACATACTATGTGTTTTGTCTCCTGAAGGGCTGGTTCCGGTGGGGTGTGTATGCCCCTACCTCAGGGAAACTGCATTTCCTATGAGGGAGCTAGCTTAGGGTCCAAATGAGGTTGTCACTGCCTCGGACAAATCATAGGCTGAGGCAGGAGGAGAATCATTTGTTGTTGTTGTTTGTTGGTTTTTTGGTTGTTGTTGTTGTTACAGTTTTGAGACAGGATCTTGCTATGTAGTTCAAGCTGTCCCTGAACTTACTATGTAGCCCAGGCTGGCCTTGAACTTCAGAGATCTTTCTGCCTCAGCCTCCCAAGTGCTGGGATTACAGGTGTGTACCACCACACCGGCAAGAATCTTAAGTTTGAGGACAATTTGGACAATGTGTGAGAGAGACCCTGTTTTAACATGTAGAAGGGGCTGAGGGTGTAGCTTGGGAGTAGAGCACATGAGGCTGTGGATTTGATTCCCTAGTACTACAAAGTCACTTTATTATCCTGTTCATCTAACTCCATAAATACTGCAGACCATTTAGTTTATGTTCTTTTAGACTTTATGTACATAGATAAAGTTGCAGGAATTACGGTATACATGTTTATACACATATCGACACAGTCTGTGTGTAAGGGAAGAATGATCACACTATAACCCGCCTGCACCCCCAAAATGACTAGCTTAGTTACAAATCAATAAATTTATCTCCATATCATCCTTTGCAAAGAAAGCTATTTGTTATTTCACTAAATGCTATGTAGTTTCCTGTTGCTATCTACACTGTTTGTAGTTTTGGAGTTGTTGTTGTTGTTGTTGTTTGGACTCTTTTTGAGCTGGGGTCTCGCTGAGTTGCTCAGGCTGATCTTGAGCTTCTGGTCTCAAATGATCCTTCCTCTGGTGGCTAGGACTGCAGCTGTGCCCACTGCACCTGGCTTGTTCCGGTCCGGTGTTTTAACTGTGAGCAGTGAGTACTGTGATAAACATCCTTGTTACTCACATCTCAGTGGCTCTGCCCAGGCATCACAGGAAATTCCAAGAAGTGGAATTGCTCACAAAACATAAGCATATTTTAAGGCTTTGACAAATTTTGCCATGCTGTTTTATGTACGTTTCCAAAAGTATTAACAGAGTGTCCACATGTGTGAGTCTTGATTCTTAAGTATTTAGTACCACTCTCTGCCCACTCTGGGCCTTTGTCAAGTAGAAGATGCATCATTCTATAAAGGTTGGAGGGGCCAGGCTTCTACTCAAGTAATTTGTCTGTGAAGAAGTTTTGAAAATCTCCAACTATATTTATTGCTGTTTCTAAAATCCTAACTGAAAATATAGACCTTTTGGTGGTTTTAATAAAATGTAATAGTCTGCTACTCCCTGTATTAAGTAAGTTTCTATGAAGTATAAAACATCTGGGATGTGAACAGCAGGAGGGCAGAGTCTCAACTGTACAATTCACTTTCCATTGATTACATCACCACTTACCTTGACACATAATGTAATATATCACTGTCTTTTGTAGAAAGTGTACTTATAAAACACTAAGTTGATATTTAAAAGTCAGGCTTACTCATACCTTGGTTTCCTGTAGACAAGTTTGTGACTATGGTACAAATTTCAGGCTTAAAAAATTTTTTTTGGATTAGTACATTTTTGCAGCATATAGTGATTGATTGCATTCACCATGGGGAGTTGGTCCATGTATGTAATAACACATCTTAATTTTTTTTGATTCCCTTCCTTCCCTCCATTCCTCCTCCATCTCTAGGTCCTTTACCCATTTGCAAATAATCTATCTTCCTGACTCCTCTATTATCCATTCTTTATTTTGTTCTTTAAATTATTTATACTTAGAATTTTAATTATGGTCTCCAGGTGCATCCATTTTCCTACAGATGACTCAAATTTGTCTTACTGTATGGCAGAGTATACTCCATTATGTGTAAATACTGTATTTCATTATTCATTCATCTGTTGCTGGACATATAGGCTGCTTCCAAAATTGAGCTATTATGACTTGTGCTATTATTAACATGGATGTGCATGGATCGGTGTTATATGATGTCTTTAACTCTGGGATAATACGTAGAAGGGAAGTAGCTGAGTCAAATGGAATTTCTTTTTGTTTTGTTTTGTTTTTGGTATCGGGGATGAGAGACCTTGGGCTTATGAGGCAGGCAGTGGAACCACTGAGCTAAATTCCTAGCTGGAATTTCTGTTTTTAGTTTTTTGAGGAATCTCTGTACTGATACAGTGGTTATACTAGTTTACAATTTCCACCACCAATGTGGAAGGATGCCATTATTTCCACACTGCCTTACCAGCATTTACTATTTTATTTCTTTTTTTGTTTGTTTAAGACAGGGTTTTAACTTTGTAGTTCAGGCTGACCTTGAACTCTATGTAGCCCAGGCTGGCCTCAAATTCACAGTGATCCTTTTGTCAGCCTCCTGAATGCTGGGATTATAGGTGTGCCACCACCCCTGGCCAGTTATTCTTGATGATAGCCATTCTTTCTATTGTAAAATGGAATTTCAGTGTTGTTTTAATTGCTTGTGTTGTTTTTTTAAACAACTGCCCACTGATGCCTGAGGCCCTAATCAGAATTATTTTTAAACTTATTGAGACAGAATTCACATATATTGGGCCTAGAGATGTAGCTCAGTAGTAGAACACTTGCCTAGCATGCATGAAGCCCTGAATTAGGCTCTTAGCTCTGAGGGGAAAAAAATTCTCATATATTGGGATATAAAATTGACTCTTATTTTTTTAATGCATCATTTTAAAGTGTACACTCAGTGGGTTTTAGTATATTCACAAGGTTGTACAATCATCACTGTCTAATTCCAGAACATTTCTGTCAACCTCAAAACAAAACTCTACACTCATTAGCTAGCAGTCACTCCCCTTCTTTTTCCTGTAGCTCTTGAATCTACTTTCTGTCACAGTGGATTTGCCTGTTCTGTGCGTTCCATATCAGTGGAATTACACAATTTTTGGTCTCTTCCATCTGGTTTCTTTCACCTGTCCTAATTCTCAAGGTTCATTCATATCAGCATGTAATAAAAATAATTTTAGACAATAAAACTAATACTAGACCACTTAAGTATTCAATGGGGTGATTCTTACTAAATTGAGGAAATTGAAAACACAAAAGGTCCTATTAATCAGAGTAGAGCACAATAGGAGAAAGGGATGAAAAGTTGGCAGAAGACCAAGGAATCAGCTGGGCGTGGTAGTTCACACCTGTAATCCTACACTTGGGAGGCTGAAGCAGGAGGATCACTGCGAGTTTGAGGCCAGCCTGGGCTACATAATGAGTTCAAGACCAGTTTGAACTACATGTCGAGACCCTGTCTCAAAAAACAAAAAAATTTGAAAAAACATACAAGGAAGGAGCAGAGTCAGAGTAACTGAGCACTCTATTGACTGAAATTAGTTCTATGAATAAGGCTTTTAAAATGTACTTTTTACCTAATTTGAAACAAGTCGTTCTCCAGAAACAGTGACCCTTTTGGGCTCATTGCATCTTCCCATATTAAATTGGCAATTGGGGTTCAAACTTCTCAGATACAGATCCCTTTTGATATATGATAAAACTGTGCTGGAGACTCCTCTTGGATGTTACAGTATATTTTTCTTACTTTTTCTCTAGTCTTTTGGCTAATCTTTCTTTTCTTCCAAAACATCTGCTGACCAGGCTGCTTCCTCAGTAACACCCTTTGACCTAAGAACTCCCAGTGAATTTATTTAACCACTCTCCACCTGAGATGTTAACTTGCATAGACTGTCACTGGAGTTAGCTTTGTGAGTGGCATTTATTTTACTTGTTTTATACCACATTCTGCTTATTAGTAACTCTGCTTTAGCATGAGTTTATCTGAGCAGAATATGGGGAAAGTGCAAGTGATTTGAACTTACAGTGACTGATGATAGCATTATGCCCTTGATTGTCAACTCTGTCTCTGTCCACAGAGGGAAGGCAGTTGTGCAAGTAATGAAATCTTTGGTTTGACTTCACACTCACTTGTTGTGTTCTGGCAGCCTTATTCTGCGGTTACTCCTAAAGATCAGGTTACTTTCATTTCACCAGTAGTGGCCAAGGAAAAGCCAGCCTTTAAAAAAAAAAGTTGCCATAGATTACTCCTAAGAGACTATGTTATGTGGTTGTTGGGAAGCAAGGGCTGTGTTGGGCAGAGGTACCATTGCATGGGGGTAACAAGTCTCTGCCGGTGAGAATTACTACTTATTGATTAGCAACATAGTGTTTTAATAGAAAAATAAAAATAGAAAACAGATATTATAGCTCTTAACACCAACATAGAGGGAATTTAGTGGCCAGAAGAGAGAGAGAGACAGACAGACAGATAGACAAGCCTGGGTAACATTGCCTGGGAAGAGGGAAGAGGGATATGAAGTGAGGACAGGAGACAGGCAGTAAGAGGAATTCTTTTTTTTTGTACCGGGGATTGAACTCAAGTCCTTGCGCTTGCGCAGCAGATGGCGAAACCACTGAGCTAAATCCCCGGCCCAAGAGGAATTCTTAAAAAGAAGTGAAGTTCACCAAAGACAAAATATCTGTTCTTGAAGTTTGCCTGAGACTTTGATGGTGGACATGTTATGTGGGCGGTAATTTCTGTTTCTGCTCCCTTTGCCCTGGAATGAAGGTGCAAAGGTTGTGGGTGCCCTGAATAAAAGTGTGTGTATACAGGTCAGCCTCCACTTCAGCCCACCCTCCTCTTCCACAACAGTCTGGTTAAGTACAGAATCAGGCAGCCGCTCTAGAGTCCAGCAACAAAAGACAGATTAAAAAAAAGTTGTATGTTTGCTAACTGCCTTTTTATCTCATGTCTGTGTTACCAACTAATTTTCTGTTTTTCTTTTGGTACTGGGGATCGAACTCGGGTCTTTGCGCTTGCGTAGCAGCCGGCGAAACCAGAGCTAAATCCCCGGCCCCCGATTAATTTTCTTTATGCCCTAAATTCTCAAAGGGGAATGCCTCAAAAGAAATGTCAGGTCCTTATTTGACAGGTGGTTTTGTCTACTTTGCGGACACAAGCTTTGGGGGCAAGAAGGAAAAAAAAGCTAGTGTAAAGGTGTGGAGGTGTGGCAGCCAAAGAAGGTGGAGGCTGAGACTGGATTGCTACATATGTGATTAAAACTGTTTTAGAAGGGCTGGGGATTTAGCTCAGTGGTTTCGGCGCCTGCCTTGAAAACCCAAAGACCCGAATTCGAGCCGATCCCCGAATTCGAACCAATCCCCGAATTTGAACCCATCCCCGGTACCAAAAACCAAACAAACAAACAAAAAACTGTTCTGAAAGAGTTTCAAGTCTAAGAGGACCAAACCAGATTACAGGTGGTTGAGAAATGAGAGGGTGCTGAAATCTTGTAACAGAGCTCTTACACTCACTTTTTTGACCACTTAAAATAAAGTACCTTGTTCTGGCTATTTGTCTGTCTGCTGGTCTGGATTGACAGCTCCTGAGGGTCCTGAGGACACACCCAGTCTCAGGCAGTGTCTCGGCCTGTGGAGATCTGAGGCCTGGATTGAAGTGGTTCACCCACGAAGCAGCCGTGTGCTGTGGGCCTGATCATCTGTTTCCTCATCTGTACAATGGTGAAATCCTAACTCCCTTTCATTGGCTGTGGAAAGGAGCAAGTAGGATAATATATACAAATGGCCTTTGTGAACTGAAAATTAGTAAGTCTGTGAAGGATATTGATAATGTTCAGCGAATGATAACAGCTGTTTTACTTGGGAAAATCTGATGATCAGTTTTTTTGTTTGTTTCAGATTTGTTCCTTATATTGGAATTGTAACGATCCTCATGAATGACTACCCTAAATTTAAGGTGAGAGCTTGTACTGTGTGTTTCATTAAAGATGTGATCTTGGGCTGAGGGCATAGCTCAGTGGGAGAGCTATGTACCTAACATGCAAGAGGCATGTTCAGTCCCCCCAGAAGAGTAAATGTTTGCTTGGTTTTGAAAAGTGTTAAATTAATTATAATTAAAATATGAAAGAATAATTGGATAGTTTAGTAACTAATCATGGTCACAAAAGCCAGCTTGTTAATTAACTATGAGGACTTACTAATTTTAAAAACCTCTCTGGGCCCTGAGGGTATAGCACTTACCTATCTTGTGGAAACCCTGGGTTTGATTCCCCAGCACCAAGAAAACACAAAGTCCCAGGCATGTTAACACATCCTGTAATCTCAGCTGCTCAGGAGGGTGAGACAGAAGGACCACAAGTTCAAGGTTAACTTGGGCAATTTATTAAGATTCTATTTCAGGAGAAAAAAAAAAAAAGATTCTATTTCAGAAGTTTAAAAAAAAAAAAGCCAGGGGTAGGGTGCATGCCTATAATCCCAGCACTCAGGAGGCTGAGACAGGAGGGTCACTGCAAATTCAATGCTGGCCTGAACTACATAACAAAAGCCTCTCTCAAAATACAGTGGTACCTTCATGAATATTTTTGTTTGCACACAATTTGGTTCACAAACAGAAGCATTTGGCAAATTTTGTTTTTGTTTGCAAACTGCATCAGGTGACAAAGAGTGACCATGGCCATCTTTCCCACACAAACACAAACATAGCCATCTTTTTCCAAAATCATAGAACAAATTAAGTTTGTGAACTGAGGTACCACTCTACCAAAAAAAATCAAAATTAAAAAATAATAAAAAGCACTAGGTATATAGCTCCCTGAATTTAATCCCTGGAAAGAAAAAAAGGAAGGGAGGGGGAAGAGGAAGGAGAAAAGAAAAGGCTTCTCTGATTTGTTATTCTGTGTTTCTTTTCTAGTATGCAGTACTTTTTTTGTTGGGTATGTTCGTGCTGGTCCATCGTGAGTAAGAAGCCTGCCTTGCTGTTCTGGGAAGATGCTGTACTTTTTGTTACTGACTGTTCGGAGTAGATACTGGTCTGTGATTGGTGGAGTGGAGAACACATATGTCGGCACTTCTCGGTAGCACCGGTTTGCATTAGTTTTGTTTCCACGCCAGAATATGTGCGGGCAGGCACATGTGCACCATGGAGTGCACTTGAGGGGACTTTCAGTCACAGGATTTCATATGTTGTCATTCTCAACACTTTCACATTTTTGTACATCAGTGAATTTTTTATATTAAAAAGTTGAGCCAAAGCCCCCAGTGTTTGTATTTTGAAGCCAAGCTTCACTTCTAAAGTGCCTACAGAGTCCTGAAAATGCAGCTGTGCATGAGCTCGGAAGCACCGTTCCTCCTTATAATGGGAATGGTGTAGTTGAAGTAGTCGTTAAGTCTTAACTTTTCAGAATTTTAAATAAAAGACTTTGCACATTGAACCCCTATCCCTGAATTTTGTTTGTTGGGAAAACTCCTGAAATTTGCCTTCCTTGCCTGGTTCTTATTACCCTGGAGGGAGGAAGATATGAAAATTTTAGGTGAACAGTGCTGCAGCTCAGGTGGCTGCCCTAATACAAACATTTTGTCTCTTTTGTTTTTGTGAAGTAAATGTAGTGATTGACGTTGATATGAAATCTCTTAGTCATAAAGTTGATTCTTCACTGGAACATGACTCGTGTAGAAACTCAGCTAGTGTTGCTGAGGGGTTCGGAAAATCTCACTTGCCTGTAAAATCTCGAAGCCTTTCCGACACTTTACATCCCAGCCTCTCCACCTGGTGTGTGTGAACATCTGGAGCAGGTAGATGGAGGTCTAGAGGGCAGGCTTCCCGTTGGTGTCTTCATTTGCCTAAACCTGGCTTCGCTTTTCCCCAGTGCAGACTCAAGGAAGGCAGAGTTAGAAGTAGTGACTGCAAAGCCTCCTTGTGTGTTTCTTTTACTATTAAGGCCTTCAGGGAAATAGGATAAGCTGATGTCGTTTCCGGCCCAAATACTCTTATTTCTGGCCTTCTCTTCTTATATTAACTCGAAGCCTCAGAGTAAGCAAGTTTTCTGTGCTGGGCTGCCTGCTCAGGTTTTTTTATTTGTTCAACATAGGAGGAAGTGAGTCCGTGCCATGACGCTAACGGAGTGAGAACAGAGACACACTTCTGCATCTCCCCTGTGGAGAGCAGAACAGCCTCGGCTGTTAGCCAGGCTTTAGCCTCCAGATTGGGCATTGCCACTTAGTGGTTTCAGCAGAGTGTGAAACCTGGCAAATAACTGCAAACAGATGACTTCCTGAACCTCAGTGAGGCTTATATTGTACTTATATTTTCTTACAAGCCAGGATCCCTCAATCAGCCTCATGTGGAGTGGCAGGATGTCAGCTGCTTCCTTGTTTTCTGGTCACCTGTGAAGGCAAGGTCAGCTGCTCAAACTGGCCAGCGCACTGCTCTGTCTGTGCCAGCCGTCCCAGCACTCCCCTAGGGAAGACAGCATGTGCTTTGGTGGTGAGAGTTGAGCTCCCGGGCTCCCGCATGACCTGTGCAGATTCTCCTCAGGGCCCAACTGGGAGGAAAACAGTACTTTATGGCATAGTTTCACACTCAGTTGTGTGAAAGTATCATTTTTTCTCTTTTGCTAGATGTTCCTGTTGCAAACAACAGCAAGCTAGACGTGGTGGTGCATGCCTGTAATCTCAACACTCAGGAGACTGAGGCAGGAGGATTGCCTTAGTTCATTAGTTCAAGGCCAACCTGAACTATATATCAAGACCCTGTCTCAAAAAAAAACAAAAAACAAAAAACAGTGAACTTTCTCTGAAAAGATAATCAAAGCATATAAAAACGTTTAAATTGGGCTGGGGATTTAGCTCAGTGGTTCCACCACCTGCCTCGAAAGTTCAAGGTCCCGAGTTCAGTCCCCGGTACAAAAAAAAAACCGTTTAAATCATTCCATTAGCCAAAAATAAAAAGATTATTTTTGAGGAGAGGTATCATGTTCTCAGCTTTTATATTGTCTAGTTTGGTCCTAAAACATAAGCCTTAAAACTAGGAGATTGAATGCATCTGTGTGTGTTACTTTCAAATGCCTGTTAGCTGTAGGCCCACATCTCTCTGTTCCCCTGGACACTCAGTAATTGCCCTTGGTCCAGGGATTTAGCTCAGTGGTTTCGCTGCCTGCTGCGCAAGTGCAAGGACCCGAGTTTGATCCCCGGTACCAAAAAAAAAAAAAATCAGCTCTCAGTAATTGTCTTCTTTAAACTCCAGCTCGTGGTGATCCCTCACCCCTCACATGTTCCATGAAGTACCTTCCTAGGTCTCTCCTATTCCTGCCATGTCCAGTCACTTTGTAAGTCCTGCATCTGCCCCCTTGCCCATTCCATTGATATCACCTGATTCTAGAAAGACCAGTTCAGTAGCCACAGCTGCTCAGGCACTGGTTTCCCTCAATGCTCCAGTCTGGGCCTATTTTAGACAGTCACCACCTGTTCATTAGTCTCAGCGTGCCTTTTACTTTCAGCAGTGCTCTTGATGGAACCATCCATTTGTGTTCACGTTGGCTTCAGCTACATGTGAAATTCAGACATGAAGCTCAGCTAACATTAGTGTCTTTGTGCTGTGCTCCTTCATGTTTGTGCTTTATCATCTCTCTCTGGTCTCTGATCATCTAATTTTCGCCATCTTCAGAAATAAGGGCTCTTCCACTGCCATCCAGCATCATAGTTGTTACTGTTACAATGTGTGAGCGTGGCCTCCAGGGTGGAATGTAAGCCCCTCTAGCGCAGGAGCCCATTTTATGGATGCTGCTCGCTTCCCCTGTCACATGAAGCCGCATGTGTTAAATGTCAGTATAATCATGCATTAGAACCAGAGGCAGTAACTTGGGTGAGCATTGTTGAATTACTCTGGAGCAGAGCGTAGGAACCCTTTAAGTGATTTGTACTTTCCTGTCAGTAAGTACATTCTCTAAGTCTTGCCAAAATGAATATGAAGACTTCACCTCTCCACAGTTCCACTTAGGCAGTGTGTAGCCTTCCAGACTTTTTAAAATGTTAATCCTGGTTTTGTGTGTGTGTGTGTGTGTGTGTGTGTGTGTGTGTGTGTGTGTGTGTGTTTTAGATCCTTCCTGTGTTTCTTTCTCAAGAGAAAAGTATTGGCATTTAGGGAGTCATAGTTTTCTCAGAGAGCCCGGGCTTTGTTGAGTGCTTTTGTACTTTTATTTTGATGTTTTCATAAGTACTTATTTGCATATTTGGGGGTATACATGTTTTAACAAGGCAGCCAACCCCTTAGGAACAGGGCGGGAGGCATCTCAGAACTTGAGGGCAGCCTCCTCCTACAGTGTGTCTCGATGCTGAGCTTCCGTGATGAGCCAGCTGCCCTGGCTGCTTTCCCCACGCGCACTTTGGTCTCCTCAGATACACTAGCAGCTTCATTACTTGATCTCTTGCTAGAACTGTGAAACTTCAGCTGTGTGGAAAGGCTGCTGTGTAACTGAGCACTGTTGGAAAAGCAGAATGTCCAGGGCTTACTCTGGGCCCTCACTATTTTCCCTCTTCACCCCTCTCCCATTCCTGCATCCACAACATTCTCACTATGCAGACATCTGAGCTGTGCTTACACTGCTTGCTGCCTGGATCAGCTAAAAGCTTTCCCACTCATTCAGTAGATATTTATTGAGCATCTACTTACTGTGCCACATTTTTAGCTAGGCCCTGGGGATACCAAGGTGCCTTTACCAAGGCCCTCCTGCTCTGCCAGGAACTTGTTTGAGACAGGGTCTCACTGTGTACCCTGCTGCCCTCACAGTGCTGAGTACTGGGATTATGGGCCTGCACCACCACACCAGACCAAGAACTCTTGATTTATGGGGCAACATATGTAAACAAATTGTCCCATATGGAATCGTAAGTATAGGAAGAAAAGAATGCGAATTTAGCTCTAGAAAGAGCTGTTTCTTGTTCCGGGGATTTAGCTCAGTGGTTCCAGCACCTGCCTCAAAAGCACAAGGTCCCAAGTTCGATCCCCGGTACCAAAAAAAAAAGAGCTGTTTCTTAGGGTTGTTTTGGTTTTTTGTGATTTTTGAGAGGTCTTACTATATAATTCAAGCTGGCCTAGAACTCGATACAGTCCTCCTGCCTCAGCCCCCCGAGTGCTGGGATTACAGGCGTGTGCTATCTACTCATTCATTCATTCTTTTTTTTTTTTTTTTTTTTTTTTGCCAGTGCTGAGAATTGAACCCAGGGCCTTGCTTACTTGTATTAAGCCAACATATATGTTGGCATATAAATGCCAACATTTCTTGATTAAGCTTTCAAGTGTGTACAGTGCTTCCTGCTTGGGAGTTCCCTGTACATTTTTTTTTTTCGGTACCAGGGATAGAACTCAGGACCTTGCACTTGTGAGGCAGGCACAGTGCCACTGAGCTAAATCCGCAGCCGTGCCCTGTACAATTTTATGCTTCTTCAACATTGTCCTCTGTAAGACAGAGGGAAGCCCAGCCTCAGATCCATGGGTAGAACCTGTAGTCCCTGTCACAGTGCTTTGCTTGTTTTAGATTTATTTATATATTCCCTTACTACATATAGTTAGTACTGGGATAAAATATAGGGATTTGGGGATGTATTTTTTTGGGGTGCGGCTCTTGAGACAGGGTCTCCCTATGTAGTCCAGGCTGGCCTTGAATTCACTATGTAGCCCAGGCTGGCCTTGAACTCGAAGTGATCCTCCTGCCTCAGCCTCCTGAGTGCTGGGATTATAGGCATGTGCCACCATACCTGGCTAAAATATGAAATAACTAATGGATTGAAACAAGTAGGGGAGAAGGAAAGGATGAAGTCAGAGGTGAGATCAGTCCCTGTACCTCCTGCTAGAGGAGATCCATAGAGTTAGCTCTCATCTCCTTGGCAGCTAATACAATGAAGGAAACATGGAATGAACAGAAAACAAAATAAAAGGAAATCCTGTGGTAGTACCAAGGATCAAGAAAGCTCTCAGAACATACTGTGTGGGGTTGTGAAATAACCCTGTACTAATTAGCCTAATGATTTTCATGGAGCTATTTCACACAAAGGCCCTCAGTATAAGTATAGTTTGGCAGTTTCTGCAAAAAGCCACTTCATCTAATCAGCCAGGAACCTTCAGCTTACCTGTAGAACAGTGTTTGGTAATTTTTTAAAAACTCAAGGCCTCTTAGGAAAATAAAAATCTTATACCTCCTTTTTATTTTGATAAACATCTGTCCTCCAGTCTCTTCTGATGCCTCCACCTGCCAAACACTGAGCCTGCAGGTTGCTTTTTTTTTTTTTTTTCCAGTACTAGGGATTGAACTCGCGTCCTTGCACTTGTGCAGCAGGCGGTGAAACCACTGAGCTAAATCCCCAGCCCTGTCCTCCAGTCTCTTAGCCTCACCAGCCAAGAATATTTTAGCTTGTGTTTCCTAAGTTTGTTTTGTTTTTGGTTTTGGGTTTTTGGGTGTTTTTGTACCGGGGATCAAACTCAGGACCTTGTGCTTTCGAGGCAGGCGGCGGAACCACTGAACTAAATCCCGGGCCCAAACAACAGTTATATTGAATCTGACTTTCAAACTATGTATCTGTCTGGAACAAAATAGCACCCACAACTTAAAGGAGGAGAGGTTTATTTTGGGTCACAATTCAGTCCATAGTCGCTGGTTCCAAGGCAGGAGGGTGGAGAAGGGCCTGGCAGAGGAATAGCTTCCCACCTCATGGTGGCTGGGAAGCCAACAAAGCCAAAGAAGTCAGAATGGGAGTTCAGCCCACAGTGACCTGCCTCTTCCAGCCAGACCCTACCACTGAACAGCAAGTCACCTATAGCACCGCATGATCCAGTCACCTTGCAAACACAAGACTTTGGGGGCCATTTTAGATCTAACCAGAACGATCTACCCTTCTACCAATCTCAGGATGGAATGCTACATACTCTCAGTTGAGAATCCTTTCTCTAGAACCATTACTTTAATTGGCCCATCTATTTAGATGGCAAGGGCCAGGGATTTAGCTCAGTGGTTCCACTGCCTGCCTCAAAAGCACAAGGTCACGAGTTCAATCCCCCGTACAAAAAAAAAAATGGCAAGCTGGATTCTAGCTTTCATTACGAGCATCAAGGCTAGGGATGTAGCTCAGTGGTACTGGGTCCTGAGTTTGATCCCTGGTACTGGAAAGAAAAAAACAAGTCAAGTTAGAAGAATTTGTGCTCTAAGGGGCCGGGGATTTAGCTCAGTGGTTCCGCAGCCGCCTGCCTCCCAAGTGGAGGGACCCAAGTTCGATCCCTGGTACCAAAAAAAACAAAAAAGAAGAATTTGTGCTCTGATCTTAATGTCAAGTAAGTAAATCAGCTTGTATCAAGCTTTGATCAGTGCTCAGCCTGACAACTTATGTAAGCCAAAAATGAGAGAATGCTGTATAGAATTCCTGGAGTTGGTTAAGAGTTGAAGATGTGCTGGCCTTTTGGTTTATCAAACAAATTAAGACATAACAGGCCTGTTGGCAGGGCAGGGTCCTGTTTTGTCAACACCGTAGTCTTCATAGCCAGCAAGCAAACCTTTCCCCTCTGTAATGGGCTTCAGATTTAAAGCAGGGTTTATTTTTCCTAGGATCCAGCTATTAATATTGACTACTTAGTGCCAGGTGCTTTGCTAAGTGCTTTATAGCAAATGTTTACTTTCTCTCATTTAATAAACCTCAAAGTAACTCCTGTCCTACGAAAGAAAAACGGGGAGAGGTTCAAGGATTTCCCCAAGGGCTTCTGATCTGTGCACATCGTCAGACTTTAGGTCTGTTGGCTTGACTGTGTCTCCCCACTGGCAGCCCTAGTCCAGTCCTTCTGCCTTTGTAACATTCAGGGAGACAGACGTGCAGTAGGCCCAGTTGCAAAGCCCTGGGGAATTCTTTGGAAGCTGTAAAGTTTTCCTCTTTGGATTTAGATTGTTAAACCTCCTGGAAATAGTGAGCTTCTCTATCAGATTTCCAAGCATTTAAACTTCTTTGGAGTTGAAGGAGTATTTATTTCACAGAGTATTTATTTTATGGAAATGTTTCCTTAAATATATGAATATTACACACAATGATTTCGAGCGCTGCCTGGGGTCTTCTCCATTTCTTAGGGTTTTTTTTTACCGGCCCTGTGTATTTATTCAGCGTAGCAGAGCAGCAATTTCTCAGCTTCTTAGCCACTGTGGGGTGCTCACCTTTTTTTTTTTTTTTCTCCTTTTTATTAGCTGTAGCTCGTTTTTTTTTTTTTTTAAGATTGTCTTTTTAAAAAACATTTTATATCTTGGGAGTTTCTATTTCTGAAAGATTTCCTTTTTTTTTTTTTTTTGGTACCAGGGATTGAACTCTGGTCCTTGTGCTTACACAGCAGGTGGCAAAACCACTGAGCTAAATCCCCTGCCCAAGATTTCCTTCTTAATAGTTGATGTTCTGATGTTAAAATTACAGTGACTTTAAATTTTATCACAGTAAAATACACGGTGCTAGGAATTCCCACCCTCAGAATCCTTCTCATTTCAAATATACTTATCCCTCTTTTCTTGCCACTCTGCAGCAGTCTGGAGGTTGTCCTTAATGAGTGTCTTTAGTTGTGCTGTCCTGGCTTGGCTCCCTGATTCAAAACATTGACCTGCTACAGTCATTTTGACTTTGAGTGAAAGCTAGAAGTCTCATGGTACCAGATCCGGTGAGTAAGGTGGATGAGGACACACGATTTTTATTTGACAGAAATTGCCATATACATTTTTAATCATTTGACAGTGAGACAGCCAAGAAAAGCCACTCAGAACTTTCAGAGCTGCTTCAGAAAGTGGCAGGACTGATGGCATGAGTGTGTTCCAAGTGAGGGGGCATATTTTGAGGGGACTCATACAATGTGCTTTTAGTGTAATAAATGTATTTAAGTATTCATTCTATATTTTGATTATATCGCATAGCTCTGGTCTCCATGTGTTCTGACTTTGGGAAATTCTTTCAGATATCCTTGATTCTCCCTGCCTCCTCCCTAGGGTGCTGCTCTTTTCCCAGTTCTGTAGCCTGGATTCTGATGAGGTACAGGGTTATGCACAGAGGCCCACAGGACAGAGCTCCCACCAGCCTGATATGTGCACCTCCAGGCTTGCTGCCATTCTCACTTGGCTCATTTTTGTCTAAATCTGCTTTTCCCAGTACTTTAATGTGTTCGAGGTCCACACTCCAGTTATGTGTTTGTTTAGTCTCTCTACAGGTAACTTGCTTTCTGTTTGGGCTAACACATCTATTATGTGAGGATAAATTAGTCTTTACTCTATTGAAGCTGTGTTGAGGGTCAGAGGGGCATACATGCCAGCACTTGTGGAGAACCACACTGAGCTGTGAAAGGGCGTCAATTTCAGTTTAATGGAGATGTTACAAAAATATTAACATAAATCCTTCATTTCAAGCCATTATTTTTATTAAAAATCTTGAAGTAGTTTAAATGTTGTTGGCAACAATGGCATGTGCCATGTGCCCTTCGTCCCTGGTCACCCTTTGGGTTGTCTTGTGAACCTTATTTTCTGTAGGTGTCCTGATTGATGTCCAACCTTGAGAGTCGGGAGTGAGCTCCAGGAGCTTCTCTATATGCCTCTCACGGAAGCCTTTGGACTGACATTGCCATCAGAGTGGGTGACACAGAGAGTAGGCAGGAGCAGCTGAGTCCCCTCACTAAGCCAGTCTGGTGCCCCCTGGGAGGAGCCTCCTTCTCTGCTGCATTTCCCCTGTTGTGTCACCCACCCCACCCCGAACATGCGCAGTCCAATGCACTGCTCTGGCACAGCAGACAGCGGTTTACAGTGGGCAGGGCAGCTGCTGCCCTGCTGCTTTCTCCAGTACCCTTAGAGGCGCCTTTTTTCCTGGCAGGGTTTATAGGTCAAAGATCCGAAGGGCTTCTGCAGCCAGTCTTGGAGCTGAGAATCTGGCCTATGTTAGAGAAACAGAGCAGGACTGAGGCCCACAGGGTCACCTGTAGGACAGAAGTGAAACAAGATGCAGCGCCACTTCTTTCTTCCCTGGGTGTTCAAGTGGGAATGAGTGTGGCTCAGAGCTTGGTGTCTGCCATCCCTGCTTTAGGGGGCCTGGCACTGAGATGCTGCCAGGCGACTCAACCTGTTTCCAATAAAACAGGATGGGGTGGGGGGGATTAAATGAAGCAGCAGTCGCTGCATACCAGTTCCCACTGATGTCTGCATTCAGGGACCAGAGAAGAGAGGGTGGGAGTGGGATGGGTGCAAAGGAGAGGAATGATTATCCTGGGAAGGTGATAAGAGCTATATCTGTACACCATGGCTAAACTGCGACAGGAAAGCAGAGAGGTGTAAATGCCGGGGGTGGGGTTGTGGAGAGAAGCAGGGAGATTGGGGGGAAAGCCAGAGCCAGAAATGGAGTGTCCCTGACCTGTGTGTCATGCCCTGGCACCACAGCCTGCTCTGCAGAAGCTAAGATGGTGGTGCAGGAGTAGCAGCAGGCGCCCTGCCGACCTGGAGGGTGCAGGCATGGTCCACACCTGCTGTCTCCACCCACCCCGTGGAGCTGTCAGCAGGGTCTGTCTCCCCTCCAGTGCCTCCCACAGCACTCTGGGTGCTGGTGTTCAGTAGGTGTTGGAGCACAGTGTGTTCCTCTGCTCATGAAGCAGTTGCAGCCCCTGACCCAAAGCCAGACACCGGAGGAGGACAGAGTGCTGAGTGTAAGAGGCCAGGCCCTGTGAGACTACTTCTTCCTGCCACCAAATAATTGTGCTAAAAATGCAAAGTTAAAAAGAAGACTGATAGTTTTCATTTTACACTTTAGGTGAGGGAGGTTCAAGTCCACGGCATGTAGAAAGACTTGTGTCCCAGCTCAGATTGCCTTGCCCCAGGTGACTACTGTCCCCCCACCTTCTTAATGTCTCCCGATGACCTGCTCTCCTGGGAACACGGCTCAGGCGCTGCGAGGAGAGATTGTGGGGCCCCATTTCGGCAGCTCCTCTGCTCCCTGATGCTTGGTTGGGCACTATTAACAAGGTGCATCATCGAATGCCTGTAATCCCAGCACTCAGGAGGCTGAGGCAGGAGGATCGCTGCAAGTTCGAGGCCAGCATGGGCTAGATAGTAGTTCAGGGCCAGCCTAAAGTAAAAAGCGAGACAAAAAAACAAACAAAAAAAAGGGCTGGGGATGAAATTGTACGACATAGTGAAAACCTTGTCTCAAAAAAACCACAAAAAAACAAAAAACCCGTGCTGGGAGGGAGGTCTCACCTTTGGGCATCAGATGATACTTTAGCAGGAAGGAAGATGACTACTTGCTGGCCAGGGGCCCCAGTGCCGATGTCCGTGCCCCACGCCCAGCCCGAGTAAGCCCGAGCCCGCGCGGCAGCAGCTAGAGGGCTGGCACCCGGCAAGACCAAGGGGCGGGGCGGCTGTGGCTCCGCCCCTGGGCGCGGGTTTAAAAAGGGCGAAGAGAAGCGGTGCCCCGAGCCGCAGCGGGAGCCGCTGAGGCCCAGCATACACCATGGTCCGGAGCACGGGGGGCACCCGGCTGCTGGGCGGCTTCCTGCTCTGGGTGTTGCTGGCTGCCGGTGTCGCCCCACTCACCTGGGACCTCCAGGAGGCCCGCAGCCACGCAAGCAAGATCCGTGTGCACCCGCGAGGCAATCTCTGGGCCACCGGTAAGTCCGAGGGGACCCAGGCGAGCTCCCAGCTCTTTCGCAGCCCTCTGGCCGCTCCTAGTCCCCAAGCAGGTGGGGACCCAGTGGCTTATCCAATTTAACAGACGGGGATCTCCAGCCCCAGACAGGGCAGTGATTGTTCTAAAAACGCTCAGCAGGGGCAAAGCAGAGCTGCGGCTGCATGTGGCCGGTACCCCTTCCCCTGGGTGAGAGACTTCCCTGTGCTCTCTCTGCCCACTCACCACCGGCCAGGCGCCTTCCCAGCCCTTTTCTGACCCCCACCCTAGCGGGCAGCGCAGTGGACAGAGTTCCTGCGTCCCAGGCTGTCCCACCCTCTCCTAGTGCCACTGTCCCTCCACCTGCTCAAGAGACCAGAGGCCACTGGTTTGTCACCCCAGCCCTGGCGTCTTGTGGCTCAGGGATGAGGAAGGCTTCCTGTCTTCTTTCCAAGAGAGGTGAAAAGTGGGAGATGGGGAACTTTCCCACCGGTAGGATTGCCACTCTGAATTCCATGTGCCTTGGCACCTCCTTTCTAGGTCACTTCATGGGCAAGAAGAGCCTGGAGCCCCTCAGCCCATCCTTGTTGGGGACAACGCCCCACACCTCCCCGAGGGACCAGCAGCTGCAGCTGAGTCATGATCTGCTCAGGAGTCTTCTGCTGAGGAGAGCCCTGGGCATGACCCTCGGCAGCCCAGCACCCCACACCCAGGTGAGCAGGGCCATCCTCGCCCAGGAGGGGCCAGCCCTGAAGAAGCACCACCAGTTTTGGAAGTGGGGTATGAGTCCCCTGCCAGGCCACAGAATGGCTGTGGGTGCCAGGGTGCCAGGGATGCAGGCTTCCTATGTCCAGGGCCGGCAGGGGGAACACTTCAGAGAGGAAGCCGACCACCCAGCAGACTCAGGGAGAAGGATGTAGGGAGCAAGTTCCACCATGCAGTCATCTAGTGGATTCTACCAGCCCTTGCAGCAGGACCTGTGTCCCGCCCCAACTGTCCCCCCTTGCTGTTTCCCAGGGGTGCCTATGGCCATGGCTGGGATCCTGAGGCCTAGAGAGGGAAGTCAGTCAGTAGCCAAGATAGCTCAGACTGTGCTTACCTGGACCCAGGGCTCTCCATTCTCTCATCTCCCTCAGGAACCAATCAGCAATCAGGTTTAGCAGCAGCCCTGCTCTCCACATCCTCAGCTGGGTCATTCCTTGTCGTGGGGCTGCCCTGTGCGCTGCAGGACATTGAGAGCACTCCGATCTCTACCCACCAGGTGCCAGTAGCACTTTCCCTTACCTCCCAAGTCATGACAATCAAAGTTGTGGTGTATGCCTATAGACCCAGCTACCCAGGAGGCTGAGGCAGAAGGATTGCCTGTGCACAAGGCCAGACCAGGCAACTTAGTGAGACCCTGTCTCTACAATCAAAAGCAATAAAAAATGCCTCCAGGCATCACTAGATGTCCCCTGTGGGAAGAAGTCCCAAATCACTCTTGGTTATAAACCACTACCCTGTGGGTTCAAGGACATAAAGCTGGATGGAGCCAAGCCAGGGCTAGCAGGTCTGAGTGGCAGCTCCTCAATTACCCGCTCCTGGTTGTCCCGAACCCCTCCCTCCCAGGTAGTTGCCGCTGTGTGCAGCAAACAATGTGAAGAAGTAGAAGGTGGGCTCTGGCAACGGCATGCTGCATAACATAGAGACTTAGTCCCTCTGTGCTTTCGAAATGTCCCAGCACTCTGGGAGGCTGAGGCAGAAGAATCTTAAGTTGGGATTTAGCTCAGTGGTTCCAACGCCGCCTCACAAGCGCAAGGTCTAGATCGAGTTCAATCCCTGGTACCAAGAAAAAAAAAAAAAAGGAATCTTAAGTTTGAGCCTAGCCTGGACAATTTAGTTTCAAGCAAATCCATCTCAAAGTAAAAAATAAAAGGGCTAGAGATGTAGCTCAGTGGAGAGGCCCTGGGTTCAATCCCTAGTACCACAAAAAAACAAAGGTCATTTACTAGCCAGGCAACATAGTACACTCTTATATTCTCAGCATTTGGGAGGCTGAGACAGGAGGATCAAGCGTTTGAAGGTAGCCTAGGTTACACAGTGAGACCCTGCCTCAAAAGGCAACCAGTGGAGAAAAATGTCACTTAACACTGTAAGTCTCATCTTCCTTATCTATAAAATGGCAACAATTACAGGCCCCTCTCCCATTAAATGAGCCCCTTCCTGGACATGCTCAGCCTATGCTGGGCTGAGAAAGCCTTCGGTTTGCAGGAGCTGTACAGTCCCTGAGCTCCTGGGTGGACCTCCTCCCCATCTGCCTTTGCCTCCTGTACCCAGCAGAGTGGGTGCTGCTGGGAAAAGGGAGGGGCCTTCCTCAGAGAGGGCCAACCCCACGTGCCTGACACACAGGACCTCAGATGTCAGGCTGGAAGGAAAAGCTCCAGACAGGATCACCTCTAGGGTCACTGATTTGAAGACCAGCTAGTCTTAGAGGAGCCATACCCAGTGATGGGGTGGGGCAGTTCAGAGCGAGACTCGGGTTGAGCTTGGCAAGGGGAGCTTGAATTTGACTTCCGTGATCTCCCCGATTGTCCTGACTACCCTCCAACATTGGGGCTCTATTCAGGGAAAACTGCCACCTCCGGGGCTTTCAGGGAGGAAGGTTCGAGGGAGCCTGCCCACTTCCGGGGACACCGGCCCTGAGCATGGTAGCAGCCCTTCCCCTGGTCAGCTGTCCTATTTTCCTGCAGTACAGGAGCCTCCTGGTGCACACGCTGCAGAAGAGACGCCCGGAACGGGGCAGGGGGCACCACTCGGCTTGGATTTCGCCCACCTGGCAAAGTGGCTGAATGGGTCCCCCGGGGTAGTTCCATCGAGATGCAAATCCCGAGCTCCTCCACTGTGATTTCTGGCCTGGTCGCCAGGAATATCCCGGATGCAGACACAAACTAAGCTCTTGCTGTCTTTCTTGCTTCCCCGGTGAAGTTGTGAATAAAGCCCTGCTCTTTACCTGGAGTGTCTGGACCTCTCCTTCCAGCCCGGCTGAGGGCGGGGAACAGCCTGAAGGGCCGAGTTCGGTGACACGGGCAGCCCCGTCCCGTGGTACTAGTGGCATCGAGCGACTCCTGCTGCAGTCACGCAGCAAGCAGGTCCTCCGGCCGCTGGATGCCGGTTCCGCTCTCACCTCTGCACTCTACTGGCCCAGTCAAGTGTCCCTTGTGTTTCCCTGCCCGAAACCGGGCTACCGGACTTCACTTACCTGTTTATCACCACATCAAGTTGGTCTTTTGGGTTTTGCTTTTTGAGCTATTACAGTTTCAACTCAGGGCCTCCCGCATGCTAGGCGAGCGTTCTGCCACTGAGCTATATCCTGGCCCTTTTTGAAAATTTTACTTGAGACGAGGGCTCGCTAACTTTCCCAGGCTGGCTTCGAATTTGCGATCCTCCTGGGACATACAGGGGGTAAGGCCGAGTTGGAACCAGACTCCGCTGTCCGCTTACTGTCTTGTCTAGACTTAAGTAGGGTTGGCCAAAGTAAGCAAATAAAAAAGACCACCCAGTAAAATTCGAATTTAGACAAACTTTTTCTGTATAAAATGTCCTAAAATTATATTCACAGTTTATCTGAAATTTCAGTTTAACCACGTGGTCCCGTATTAGTTTTGGCCTTGGGGCACGGACCGCCCATTCTTGGGCTGCAAATACCTGGTTCTAAAACTGATGGGAATTTGGTCCCTCCCGCTTGGGGCTGACAGCGGGAATTCCCGCGCTTCCCTCGCTTTCCGCGGAAGAAAGTGGCCCATACTGCCGGCGCCCAACGGGAGGCCACGCCTACGCCTCGCGAGACCTCCGCGCCCGTCCAGGAAGCCTCGCGAACGGAAGTTGGGCGCCGAAAGCGACAGTTGCTATGGAGGCCGCGGAGGACTGGCTGGTGGAATCCTTTCGCTTGTAAATCGTGCGGGGCTGGGTCGCGGACCCAGGCTGGGCTGGCCTGGCTGGCGGGCGGGCGGTTGGGTGGGCGGAGCCCTGACCTCGGGCCGGGCTGAGGCGGAGGACTCCGGGGCTGGATCCCCGCCTTCTGGGAAAGGGCTTCTTCCTGTGTGCCCAAGTTTGATAAGCGAGGCCTGTGAAGGATTCACTTCCAGTGTTTAACAAAAAGTTGCCTGGTGTGGTGCCTCCTGTCTGTAACCCCAGCACTCTGGGAGGCAGAAGCAGGAAGATTGCAGCCTGAGCGACTTAGCTAGACTCTCTCAAAATTAAAAATAATACTAAAAGGGCTGGGGATGCAGCTCAATAGCTCCCTAGTACCACCAAAAAAAAGGGAAGAGAAAACTTGTGGAGGACACTAATAACTCAAGTTACTAATTAGTTTGTGCCCCGCTCTAAGTTAAACCCTGAACACAGGTCCTCACATCAGCTTGGGGAAATCTTGGTACCAGGAAGTCCCTTAAATGAGAACTGAGGCTCAGGAATCCTGGCTGGCCTGGTCCCAGAGACTCGGAGGAGGGTAAAATGCGTTTAAAGACTCGGCCCCATGTCTGCCTTAATCCAAGCATGGGCTTCCAATCACCAAACCCAGCTGCCATCTCCTGGTTCTTTGTCAGCTGTGCAGTGCCATGCGCCATGTGTTCTTATGTTCCTGTCATGCAGGTACCAGGATTTTCATGCATTTGACCTCTCAGCACCCACTCGAGTCCTTGAATGGATTGGTGACAAAGGTGATGTGCCCTGCCTGATCATCCTAAAGGAGATAGAATCCCTCTCTCTGGCGGGGTTTCAGGGGCTCTGCCTAAGAAGGCTCCATCCCACTCTTGAGGGCATCTAGGTCACTTATTACAACCTAGTGCCCCATTAACACTTGTTCTTTTTTTTTGGTTCCGGGGATTGAACTCAGGTCCTTGCGCTTTCGAGGCTGGCAACAGAACCACTGAGCTAAATCGCCAGCCCTGCACTTGTTCTTTTAATAAGATCCTCCATGTCGGGCATGGTGGTGCAGACTTGTAATCCTAGCACTCTGGGAAGCTGAGGCAGGAGGATTGCAGATTTGAGCCCAGCCTGGGCAGCTAAGCGAGACCCTGTCTCAAAATAAAAAATAATAAAAGGTCTGGGGATGTAACAAAGTGCAAAAACTCTGGATTTAATCTCTGGTACTGTAAGGAAAAAAAAATCCATCCTCTGATAAAAGGCTGTATATTAACAGGGAAGGAATTTAGCCTTGCTCTGAGGAACAGGCAGCAGTTTATAGATTGAACCACAACCTTTCTAACATGGCTGCTGATTTTTTCTAGGAGTCTTCATTGCTGGCTATGAAAGCCTGAAAAAAAATGAAATTCTTCATCTAATGCTACCTCCTAGACTTTCTGTAAAGGAAAACCAGGTAACTTAAAGTAGAAATGTTGAATAGATATGTTGATTTTCACTATTTATTATCCATTTCTGGGGCTCTTGTCACCTACCAAGCATTGTCCTGGATACTAGAGAGACCATGGCTGGACCTCCCCCATAGTCTAATAGCCAAGGCACCTATGCACAGAGCTAAGTATTGTAGAACATCAGGGCTCCTACAGGAAAGGGCCAGTATTCCTTTAGCAAAGCTAGATTTAGGGAGCCCTTAGGCCACAGCAGGTAGCCGAAGCCCTTAGAATGGTTTAGTTTAGATCACCTAGTGACAACAGATAGCCCTCTGCAGCATGCCATAGGTTTGCCACCACTGAACTAGAATGAATGCATACTGTATCAGAATTTAGAGAAGACAGCTGAGGACAGAGCCTCAAAGGACACATTTAAGGCATGAGCATAAGAAGATAAACCCATGAGAAATACCAAAAAAGACTGGCCTTTGAAGTAGACATCTCAGAAAAGGGCAGAGGTCAAGAGAAGAGAACATGTCAGGGAGACTTGGTAGCTCCAGCATGTTGCTGTAGAAGCATTCACATAAGGAGTGAAGGATTCCTTTATTAGGTTGGCAGCTGGGACGCTCTTGGTGACCTCTGCCACAGCATTTCGCTGGTGGTGGCCACAGCCAAAGGCCACAAAGGAGAGCAAGTAGGAGTGGAGGGAGGGAAGAGACCAGAGCAGTAGCCAGGCAGAAACAGATTTGAGGGAAGATTGCCCTCAGCTTGACTAGTGGGGAAGCTGCCCTTGAAGGATGAGCGTGACAAGCAGGATGGAGAGAGGCACAGGGACAGTGGTCCTGCTTCCAGGGACAGGGGTGAAAAGAGCTCCACTTCCAGGCAAGAGGTGAGGCCTGCAGGTCAGTGACTGGAAAGCCACATACAGGATTGAGAATGTGCACTTCTGAATTTCACTGCTGCTTCCTTTGCTGGGGGACAGTGGCAGGGATGGAACCCAAGTGCTCGGCATGTGTTTTACCACTGAGCCACACCCCAGCTCTTTTAAATTCTTTAAGGAAATAAGAAAGTTTTCTTAACGGGTGACCACAGCATGGAGCTGAGTTGAAGGTTTAGAGTAGAAGTAGGCAGGAGCCAAGTAAAAGGAGCCCAGGAGAGGCTGGGTCCCTCCAGCTGTGGCCCAAGGACCACCTGTCCCTGAGCCTCCAGGGTGCCACCAACATGCACATTCCTAGACCTTTCCCAGATCTCTGGATCGGAACCTCAAGAGACCCACTTCATACTCCCACAACCTGGAGGAATGGAAGCTACAGGCTGCCTGGCCTGTCACCCTGGGCATGGGAGGTGACTTTCCCAGTACCTTGATTTCCTCTGTGCCTACATACCTGGAATGAGCTGTGAGGAGAAGCCACACCTCTGACTCCTCCTCTCCCCTCAGTGGCTGCCTCCGGTCCCTTACACAGAGGAAGAGAGCGGAGTCTGGTGGCCAGGAGCCTGACGGTGCTCATGCAGACCTGGGCTCTGAGTCACAGCCTGATGCCTGTGTGACCTCCAAAAAGTCACCAAAGCCCCATGTGCCTTCGTTTTGTTATTTGTAGAACAGGGATAAGGACAAGAGACCTACGTGACAGGGCTTTGTGAGAATGCAGTACTAAACAAGGTACTACTTGAGTGGACATGCTAAGTGGGAGCTGTTACGTTTTCCTTGTTAGAGGAGCTTCCCAGGCTTTGGAAGGGAGTGGGGAGAGAATGGCACCAGTAGCTGTCTGGCTACCTCTGCTGTGTAGGAAGCTGTCCCACTCTGACTCCTCTGGGAAGGCCTGGGGCACAGACTTATGTGGTGGCACAGGGGACTGTGACCAACTAGAGGCCTGGGGACAGGTGGGAAGAAGGGAGCTGTGCACGTAGGTGTGAGACCAGCACTTCCAGACAGCGGCACAAGGCCTCACATGGAGGAGCCTCTGTCGCCAGCGGAGTGACGAGCACTTTTTTGATCGGCTTCCCTTGGCATTGTAGGGCTTATTCCCAGAAAGAGATTTCAAAGTGAGCCACGGGGGATTCTCAGACAGAGCCATCCTGGAGCTAAAGCACGTACCAGACACCAGGTATGGCCAGTCTGTGACCCCACCTCACTCAGGATGGGTCTCCTGCCTCCTTCTTCCCACGCCAGTCCTCAGCACAGGGACCTGTGTGAGTGTGCATGCACACACACAAACACAGGTTTAGAATGTAAAGAAACTATCCTCTCACAGCTGTTTTGATTATCATAACCAGCATGGCACCAGAATTGCTGTAGGGTTGGATGCAGGCTAGAAGGGTGCGATGTGTGCCCCCGGGAGCTGATGGTGGATGGTGGACCGAACCAGCTCCATGAGGAGAGGCTGCATGTCTGGTGTCCTCCCCGGGTGACCGTCATGACATGTGATGGCTCCCATGACCTGTGCCCCATCCCTAAGGCAGAATGAGCCTGCTCTTCTGTCCAGTGCTGGTGGCGGGTCTTGATCCTGTAGTAGGATTTCCTGGGCTGGACAGGAGAGGGATGACGGGGTCCATGGGTGAGAACTAAGATGCTCTGTCCACCTGGAATAGGTTGCTGGTGACCAGTGGGCTTCCGGGTTGTTATCTCCGATTGTGGCACATCACAGAGGACAGTGGTGAGTGAACTTCACTTGGTAGAGGTACGGGCCCCTGCCCAGGCCCAATGAAGAAGGGGGCAAGTGCAGTCCTGTAACTTTCTCCAGGATGGAGCTGAGTAGGTGGCACCCAGAGCACTGCTGCCCCCTCCGAGGGCAAGCCGAGGGCAGAGCTCTGGAGCTTACCTCCCGGGAGGAGGATGTGTGCTAGTCCTGGGAAGAAGTGTGAGCCAGAGCCCTGACTGGGCCTGCTGCCACCTCCATACCAAGAAGTCATTCTGCTTCCCCACAGCGGGCGGCAGGAGGAGCAGGAGGTGCTAATTGTGTTCCTTCTGGGAGTGAGGGTCTGCAGGTCCCCAGCAGGCAAGCAGGCAGGCACCAGAGCATGCAGCTCTGCCCTGACCCCACCCTCTGTCCCTCTTTCCTGACTGCTGTGATTTGAGACAAAGGCTTCATTCACTAAGTTGCTAAATTGCCCAGTTGAACTGTGATCCTCTTGCCGCACCCTCCCAGAGTGCTAGGGTTATAGGTGTGCAGCCCCACACTGGCCACTAGAAAGACAGTTCCTTTGTTCATTTGCTTTCTGGGATCACTGACCCCATGGACTTTCCTATTGTTTTCCTTGTCACTTGTCCTGCACTGTAGTCTCCAGTTGCTCCTACCCCTTACTTGTGGTTGTGGTGGTGTATTTTTTAATAGTTTTATAGAGGTACTATGTTTTGCATATCATACAATTCTCCCATTTCAAGTCTACAGTTCAGTGATTATATTTTAGTAAATTTATCAAGTTTTGTAGCCATCTCTATAAGTCAGTCTCGGAACATTTCCATCACCTCAGTAAGACCCATCACCCATTTATTGTTAATTTCCATTCCCAGCAACCACAAATCTATTCTCTCTGTAATAGATGTGCCTTGGACATTCCATATTGGTGGACCTGTACATGTGGTCTTTCATGTGCGCATTCTTTCTCTTAGCACAGTGCTTTTAAAGTCCATCCATGTCAGTTAGCACGTATCAGTCACTTGTTTCTTTTTATAAGTGAATAGTATTCTGTTGTATGGCAGCAGTACCACATTTTTCTATCCATTCACAAGTTGATAGATCCAGTTTTTGGCCATCATCAGTAATGCTGCTTAGAACATTAATATATGAATCTTTGTGACTCACATGTTTTCATGTCTCTAGGGTAGACACCTCACAATGAAATTCCTGTACCATGTAAATTTGTATTTGATTTTATAGGAAACTCAAAATTTTACAAAATGGCTTCACTTACATTCCCACCAGCAATGTTTGAGGGTTCCTCAATTTCCATGTCCTTGCTAACATTTGTTACTTTTTAAAAATTTGTATTGCTGGGTTTGGTGGCGCACACCTATAATCCCAGCACTCAGGAGGCAGAGGCAGGAGGATCACTGCAAGTTGATGCCAGCCTGGGCTACATAGTGAGTTCAAGGCCAGTCTGAACTACACAGCAAGACCTTGTCTCAAAAAAATAAAATACACATTTTTATTTTGTAGTGCTGGGGATCAAACCCAGCACCTCATATATGCTAGGCAAGTGCTCATTCCCAACCCTGTCTTTTTTCTTAAAGCCGTTGTCTAGGTGTGACATTATATGTCCTTGTGGTTTCCATTTGGATTTCCTTAATGGGTAATAATGTTGAACATCTTTTTGTGTGTTTATCAGCCATTCATATATATGGTGAAATGCCTATTAAATCATTCACTTTTTTTTTGGTGTTTTGTTTTGTTTTGGGGGGTTTTTTTTGGTACCAGGGATCGAACTCAGGTCCTTGCACTTGCACAGCAGGCAGTGAAACAACTGAGCTAAATCCCCAGCCCTGTTTTGTTTTGTTTTGAGACAGGGTCTTGCTATGTAGTTCAGACTGGACTTCAACTCATCTTATAGCCCAGGCTGGCGTTAAACTCCAGAATCCTCCTGCCTCAGCCTCCCAAGTGCTGGGATTACAGGCATGCACCACCACACCTGGCTATTTCACTTTCTTAAAATAGTTTTGTGTAGTCTTGCAAGAGAGCACAAAAAAGTCACTTAAAAAAAATTTCATCGGGAGTGGTAGCACATGCCTGTAATCCCAGTACTCCAAAGGCTGAGGCAGGAGGATTGCTGCAAGTTTGAGACCAGCCTGGGCTGTATAGCAAGACCCTGTCTCAAAAAAAAAAAAAAACCTTGCATCTCATTTTGAGATACTTTCTTTTTTTTTTTTGGTACCAGGGATTGAACTCGGGTCCTTGTGCTTGTGAGGCAAGCAGTGGAACCACTGAGCTAAATCCCTGGCCCTGAGATACTTTCTTTCCTCCTTCCATGAGGTGATCTTGATAGTGAGCCCCATTCCACTTGAAAGTGAAAGTTCTTTCCTCCCATTCAGGAGGAAAACTGTGTTCTGTCACCAGTGATGAGTGTCTTCCTAAGAATTCAAAGTGGTAGCACCATTTTAGAGAAATGTATCTTACTAAGCTTTCTCCCAATTGTACTTGGCATTACAAAGTAATAATGCACCTGTGGGCAAACAAGCAATTAAAAAAACTCTCAGTGTGCTTTTGTGCCAAAGCAAGGACAGAATAACAGCATATTTGAGGCGAGGCATGAGCAAAACGTGGATTCTGAGGGCACTTCCGTACTCAGTGAGGCGCCAGTGCTCCACTCATCCTGAGGACATGCTCACAGTGGCATCTGTCTTGCCAGTGTTGTAGCGTGCTCACTTTACCTGGGGAAATGAAGCCCTCTTTCTTGTCTCAGTGATATCAGTGGCACTTATGTAACATCTTCCACACTGGCAGGCAAGGGTGGCTTGAACACATGCCGTTGATGACGAGGCACCGGCCTGGCAGTGGGCAGGAGTTGGTGCAGCGTAGGTGTGAACTCAGGCCTCTGTGATGTAGGAAGTGAGTCTCTCAGCTTGCTCTGCTGGCACGGTAGCCACATCTTTTCCACACCTGCCTTCATCTGCACACAGTGTGGGGGCTATTTTAGTAATTTCTTCAGTCTGAATTTCCTAACACGTCCTTGGGTTACAGGTCAAAGATGAAATAGTCTATCAATGTCTGATTTCCACAGATGGACTGGATTGTTCCTTAGCTTGTTCCTCATTGTGGAACACAATTTTTCTGCTGCTTACTACTGTTTCTCCCAGCCCTATCTTTTGTGATTTTCCCTCTTGGTACAGAAAGCCAGCCTTCAGTTCTGGACTCTGGAAGGTTATCAACTACCCCATCAGCATGAGCAAAACTAACAGCACTAGTAGAACCCAAAAGGCCCAAAGTTTACCTCATAGTTGTTTGATAATAGCACTCTCTTTGCTGGTCATCTGAAGCTCCTTCCTCTTCAACCAGTTGTGCTTGCATTTCATTCAGTTCCACTACCATCTGGTTGAATTTCTTTCTTTCTTGGTTCAATTTCAGTTGATGTTTTTTTTTTTTGACAGGGTCTCTCTATGTAGTCCAAACTAGCCTTGAACTCACTATGTAGCCCAGGCTGGCCTCAAACTCACGTAATCACTCCTCCTGAGTGCTGGGATCACAGGTGTGCACCACCATGTCCGGCCCAGTTGTAGCTTTCGATTTTCCTTTTCTTTCTCAAATCTAGTATAGTAGCTTTCTTTCTATCAATTTTTAAATCTTTGGGATTTATTATTTCTGCAAACTTGTAAACACCCTGTGTTTTAAGGGTTCATTCTATACTGATACTCTTTTTTTTTAATAAAAAAGATAGAACCTGTATTATCCTGCATCTGCTTTCCTCATGTAATTAGCAAACACCCATAGCCAATAAGTTACTGCCTTCAAACTAAAGATCTCCGAGTCACTTCTAAAAAAAATGAAATTATCATTCAGGAGACTATTGTCATTTCATATTACAGCTGACTATAATTTCAGTTAATTTATAAATAACTTTAAAACCTTATGAATGAAATGCACCAAACTGCACCTGTATAAAAGTGATGTTTAATTATAGGCTAAAAATGACTAATACAGTATGCTTGAATTAGAAAAAGTTAAGATTCTAAATAAATTTCTAGAGAATTTCACAGTGATGGGAAGGCAATGAAGATTTTTCTCTACATATAATCTGATCATTAACAGACTAGTAAATCTTAATTGGAATGATAAGGCAAAAATAGTAAAACCACACTTTTCCTATAAACAGTTACACATTATCTTCTGCATCATGTGGCATCATACCCATTGCTCAGGCACATCAGAGATGCTCATTAAATGTACACGATCTCCATGGCATGCATTGAATAGCTGTGCAGAGAAACTGACCTCTTGAAGTCCATGAAAAAGCTCAACAAGTCAAGGACTGTTAGCAAAAACCTTGATGTCCCTTTTTTTTTTTTGGTGGTATCAGGGATCGAACTTAGGACCTTGCACTTGCCAGGCACGGTGCCACTGAACTACATGCCCCGCATCAATCTCCCTTTCCTAGAACAAAGAGTCGGATCTCCTGGTCGTTTTAAATTTGTGAAACACTTCATTGCATATGCCTTCCTGGTAGATTCATGCCTTACCAACCGAACATCTCCAGTGCACCTCTACCAGTCATGTTTTTACTAAATAATCAGCTTTCATTTGTAAATCTCTAGCTGTAGTTATTGTGTCCTTCTATCTGCTCTGGCCACCCTGGCCACAGAGGGCCTTTGAGAGCCGGCTGTAGGGTGGAAACCCTGGGGTGGCCAGGAAGAGCAGAGGAGAGGCAGCCAGGTGGGAGGTGACTGCTATGGGGTCCAGCGGCCAGGGCAAGGTTGGTGCCCCATGGAGACTAAGGGAGAAACGTGTAATCTGTTCTCGTCTGCCTGGTAGCTGAGATGGACAGCCTGGGGGCCTGTGGTTCCAGCTGGGAAGAGGGCAGGCAGTTGGGACCCAGCCAGGGACAGGGACAGGGACAGGGACCAGGGGCCCAAGAAGGACCAATATATCTGCCCTCCTGTTCAAAACCAACCTTTTTCTCCTTCCCCATTCTTGGCAGTCCCTCACTATGTCTTTTGCCTTGGTGTCATAGGAATTTGTCTTCAGTGTAGGACTGGATTGGTACATTAGGTGTGCATTTCTAGGGAAGGCCGCCTCACCACTGACTGCACAGGGATAGACCTGATTGCTTTCTTTGTCTTTTTTGCATTACTGGGGATTGAACCCAGGACCTTAGGTGTCCTAGGCACTTGCTGGTTTCTTTCCTGCTGCAGTCCAGAGTCATAGCTTTCCACACTGCTTCTGTGACATAGTCTCTTCCTCCCTCCCTGTGGGGGACACATTGCAGCTGAGCACCATCCCCTGGCTCAGACCAGTAGGTCCTGGGAGAATCCCATCCGTGCTCCTCAGAGTCCGTGGAAAGGGACAAAGGGGCCACAAGTGTGGCCCAGAGAGCCAGGGAGGCTATGGCAGGGCAGCTGGAACTGCAGCCCCCAAGGTTTCTGGTGGGAGAGGGCTCAGCAGGGTTGGTGAGTGCCCCCTGCATGCCAGCCCAGCCCTCAATGTCTCCTCACATGGGGGGGCCGTTGGGTGTCCTCCCTTCCATTATCTCCTCATCACTCTGACTTCTCCTTTTAAACAGAAAAAAATATGCAGATCTTCATTTTCTTCAGAGTGTAGAAACCAAATAATGAGCCCCCTCTTAGAGCAGAAAGATATAAAGTGGGAAATACGAGTTTCCCTTCAAGTGGTGAGTACAGTGAATGGCTGTCCTGAACTGCTCGATGTAGGAGACAGGAGTGGACCAGCCACCCACCAAGCAGGGTGACATAAACACGAAGCCAAAGCTTGATTCTGCTGGGGGCTGAGTATGTCTTTGTGCCGTTCCAGGAAAAAAGGTGTGGACTCTCTTGTCCTGTTTACATGTTAAGTCAGTGACGTGCAATGTAACCTTTGCTTGCCAAGTTTTAGTAAGTTGTCTGGGGGGATGGAACACATTTTTGAAAAAATAGTAGCTCATGAACTCTGTGCCTGTTGTTTCTCAAGGAAGCTGTAAGTGGCATCAGCAAAGTGTTCACTCCTTCTTTCCTCACTTTGTTCTCCACCAAACAGTCAAAAGTGAGAACACCTGGTAGAGTTTGGAGTTGGCTATAGTGATTCATTATTTGTCAGTTGCAAAAACTGTTCGTAAGACAAGTTATAAAGAAATCACAGTGATTCTGACAGTTCTAAAAATATAAATCTGCCAAATGTGTGTCTGTAATCCTAGCACTCTGGGAAGCTGAGGCAGGAGGATCACAAGTTCGAGCCCAGCCTGAGCAACTTAGTGACTTAGCAAGACCCAGTCTTAAAAAAAGAAAAAGGACTGGGGGTGTAGCTTAGTGCAAAGGGCCAGGGTTCAATCCCTAGTACCATACACACCCAAAGTAGCTATGACCCAGTGTTTATTTGTGTCTCAGCAGTCTCTCTTGCCAGCTCTCCATCCTTCTTCCGCCCTGACCTGAGTGTCCACTGGAAGAGGGCTGCTGGCCTCCCATGTAAGGTTTCAAACCTACATTAGTGTCCTGGACTTCACTCTCTTTCCCTTTCCCCCAGATGTCATTAAAGCTGTCAGCACCATCTCTGTGCAAGAGAAAGCGGGGGACCTCTGGCCTAGGCTAGCTGTCTTCTCCATGGTACCCAGAGTCCTTCATGGGGTGCAGCTCAGCAGTCTGCAGGTGGTCGATTTGGAATCCTGGAAAACCACATACAGCTCAGGTACCATGGCCTCGTCCTGCTGCTCCCTAGTTAGCACCCACCCTCAGCCCAGCTCCCAAGGCCAAGTGGAGGCTCTGGCCCCCAGGGCTCTCACATGGATGGGGAGGCGGTCCAGGCCAGGGCCCACGCAGCAGGTGGAGTCAGCCATGTATGTGTGGAGGGGGACGGGTGTGACAGCAGCCCTGCCCATCCCAGGCCCATCCGACTGCAGCAGCTTCCCCTCTTCCAGGCGTCACTGACAGTGAGGAGCTGAGCAACCTGCAGGTCCTCGATGGAGACACCTTTGCATTCTGCTGCACCTCAGGCCGCCTGGGGCTGGTCGATACCCGCCAGCCGTGGGCACCACTGGAGAACCCCAGCCCAAGCCCTGGGTCTGGTGGGCAGAGATGGTGTGCAGAAGTAAAGGACAGGGGCCAGGGCCCTGGGCCTTGCTTCTCCAGCCTGTGCACAGATGGGCAGCTCTGTCTCCTTGATGCCCGAGACCTCTTCCACCCTGTGAGCTCAGTCCAGTGCCCAGTGACCACACCAAGCCCTGACCCAGAGCTGCTGCGGGTGACATGGGCCCCAGGCCTGGACAACTGCCTGGCTGTTTCAGGTACTGCTGAGTGGGATCCTGTGTCTGTTACTTGCTCTCTGTCTTCAGGGGACAGAAGTGTGATCAGGAGGGAGCGTACAGCCCCCTAAGAAAACTGGTCCTCAGAGGGAGCTGCTCACTGACCTGCCAGCCTGCAGTGTGACCCTTCCCACCCTGGCCACTAAATGGCCACAGCCTGCTGCAGCCTCCCTGGGCCCTTGGGGATTTGGGGCTCAGGACCCACCAAGGAGGGGGGCAGGTAAGGAGGTGCTGAGGTCCCCACCAGAAAGAGCAAGAGAAGGATTATGGGGTGCACGTGCATTGGGCAATGTGACAGAGCTGCCCTCTGAAGGCTTCTATCTCCCTGTCAAGTGGAGATAAAGCCATCCACTGAGAAGGACCCAGGGCTGTGGGGACTGGGATTAGGGGCCAGTTGGAAAGGCGGGAAGGCTCTCCAGCCTCCATTTCCTAGGGAATTGCTGGTAGCGACTTCATACTGCAGCCAAGGTAAGAGACGCTGCCTGTCCAGGGTTAGCCTTAGGCTTGCCACACAGCAGACACACACAGGTGCTCATGGGACCCATGCAGGGAGTCACCACTACCGGCGTGGACAGATGCCACACTCCCTTGGTGGGTGTTCAGCCTCTGGTCCTGGGGAGTACTCTTTGGCCACCACCAAGTGAGAAAGTACTTCTGGGACTCAGGAGCAACCTTATGCTCTGTGTCTTCCTCAGGCTTTGATGGGACAGTCCAGGTCTATGATGTTACGTCTTGGGAAGGAATGGGGAGCCAAGTAAAGCCACTCTTCACCCACAGAGGTCACATCTTCTTAGACGAAAGCAAGGGGGACACTGCTCCACTGGTCACCACCCACACCTGGCACCCTTGCAAACCCAGGACTTTGTTATCTTCAGCAAGCGACGCCTCCTTGCACGTGTGGGACTGGGTGGACCCTCGACCCTCCTGCTGACACCAGGACTCTGGGGGGAAGGGGTGGCACTGGGTGGCAGAGCTACTGGTGCAGGACGCTGCTGCCAGCTATGTGGCCTCAGGTGAGTCAACCAGCCTCCCTCAGAGCCTCTTTCTGTCTTTAAAATGAGCATAGTAATGACTTCCACACAGGGTTGCTGAGAAGGTGAGAAGTAATAGATTAAAGAATACTTGGACCAGTTATGGTGGCCCACACCTGTAATCCCAACCAGTCAGGAGGCTGAGGCAGGAAGATCACAAGTTTGAGGCTAGCCTGAACAACTTAGTGACTTACCAAGACCTTATCTCAAAGTTAAATAAAGGGGTGGGGCTCTAGCTCAGTGAGAACGCCCTCAGAATTACTTCAAGAAAGAAAGAATTCAGTAGCTGCTTTTAGATCTGGCAGGCCACCTACCCACCCATTATACACTGGCAGGGTTTGGTCTCTGTCATCTTCACAGTATCACAGTGAGAACCAGAAGAGTTCATGACTGTCAATGTATTCCTCAAACTTTTTTACAGAAGAAAAAATGCACGAGGGCTAATAAACCTGACAAAATGTCAACCCTGGTAGCAGCTAAGCAAGAGCAGTAGGAAGACTCCCATTTTTGCCTGTCGGATTGCCAGTGTTGAGCTTTCATTGCTCTCCACAGCTGGTGGAGGTTTCATGATACCCAGTGCCGAAGGGTAACAGGTTCTTCATCCAGCTCTAAACTGGACCTGGTTCACTTGGGCCAGAAGGCAGGTAACCAAGGCCCAGCTAAATGTCAACTGAATTTTCCTAATCTTGTTGTGGTGGCTCATGCCTATAACCAGCACTTGGGAGGCTGAGGCAGAAAGATCATAGGCCAGCATGAGCATTTTAACCAGTTCACTATCTCAATAAAGCCAGGCACAGTGGCGCACACCTGTGATCCCAGCACTCAGGAGAGTGAGGCAAGAGGATCACCATGAATTTGAGGCCAGCCTAGGCTACAAAGTGAGTTCAAGGCCAGCCTGAACTATATACATTGAGACCCTGTCTCAAAAGAAAACTAATCTTTTTCAGTTACCAGTACCATGATGAACAGCTTTTGTATACATGAGCAATATGTCTATACAGTAAGTTTCTAAAAATTGCTCAGAAGGAAAAAATGGAAACAAAGCTTCTGTACATAAGGGGGGCGGTATGGGGTGGAGTGGGATAAAATAAAATTTATTTTTAAAAAATTGCTGAGGCACGGGCCGGGGATTTAGCTCAGTGATGCTGCTGCCTGCCTCATAAGTGCAAGGTCCTGAGTTCGATCCCCAGTACCAAAAAAAAATTGCTGAGGCAGAGGATGTGTGTATTTTTGGTTTGATAAACACTTTCAAAGCACCCCCTCATACTGTGCCCGCTCCTGCTCCCTTGTCATTAGCAGCCTGTTTACTGCCTGCTTAACCTGTGCCTGTCTGATAAACTCAAAATCATTACTGCAGCTTCAGTTTGTATTTCTTTTATGTGTGAGGTTGGGACCCTTCTGATACTTAAAATTCTGGGGGCAAATATTGTTAACAGGACAATAGAGCAGGAGCCAGCTGTTGCCACCCCATACCACCTACAGCCCTGAGAGCTGAGCCAGATGGCGGCCTCTGTCCTCCAGGGCAATGTAAGGCCCAAGGGACATTTCCTTCAGAGCTTCACAAACATTTCCTTCTTGGCAGGCCTAGAGCAAATATTAAAGGGTACGTGAATTTGCTGTCATGTACAATTTCTCACTGTAGCATTTATTAAAGGGTTCTCAGGAATTTTGCTTTTGAAATTACTTGATGACTAGTCTAAAATCTGGGTGTTGATATTTATTTATTCACTTATTGATACTGGAGATTGAACCCAGGGCCTTCGCACTAAGCTATGTCCCCAGCTCTTTTGTTTTCTTCTCTTTTTTTTTCTAGCTGAATTCTCTAAGTTGCTGTTATGGTTTGTGTCTAGTTGTCCCCCCAAACCTCATATCATAGGTGGGGCTTTTTCAGAGATGGGTGAATCTAGAGGGTGTGATGCTGGGATTAAGGGTGTGTGATTACTGAATCAGTCCACTGATTGGTTTGGTACCACCCTAATCCCAGAAGCCTAGATAGAGTATAAAAAGGACAGAAAGAAGCTGCTAAGGCCCCTTGCTTGCTTTGCTACCTTCTGCCTACCATGAACTGTTTCTCTTCTGCCATCTCCCTCTGCCGTGCCACCCAGCCTTGGAGCCAGCCAACAATGGTCTGAAACCTCTAAAAACTAAGCCAAATTGGGGCTGGGGATTTAGCTCAGTGGTTCCAGCGCCTGCCTTGCAGGCTCAAGGTCCCGAGTTCAATCCCCAGGACCAAAAAAAGGACAAACTAAGCCAAATAAACCTTTCTTCCCTTAACTTTGGGCATCAGGTATTTTGTCTCAGCAATGAGAAAAGTAAGACAGTTGCCAAGGCTGGCCTTGAACTTGTGATCCTCCTGACTCAACCTCCCAAATTGCTGGGATTACAGATGTGCATTGCCATCCCCATATTGATTTTTTTTTTTTTGCTTTGCTTTTGAGATAGGGTCCCCCTATATTGCCCAGGCTGGTCTCAAACACTGAGCTCAAGTGATCTTTCAGGATTCCTGGGACTGCAGGCACAGACCACCACACCCAGCTGGGAAAGGAATTTTTTTTGGAGGGGATGGATTTTTTGATAATTTCACAGTGAAGTTAGTAGAGTGTTACATTTTAGAGACATTTAATTTTTTTCAATTTTAAGATGTGATCATTCTAAGCATTTCCTGGAGTCTTCTCAGTCATTTTCCTCAGGAGAGCTCATCCTGTAGCTTTCTCCCCAACTCCGTGCTCGGTGATGTCACGTTGATAGCTTGAAATTGGCCATGGTGGGAGTATTTACATCTCAGAAATTGGCAAATGTTGCAAAGCAGAGTTGATTTTTTTCCCCAAGAGAGCAAAATTACTGGCACGCCACTGAGGAAGCTATAGTATTTCACCAAGTAATAGCAGAAGTGAGTAATTTAGAAAATAGTAGAATTGATGGGTGAATTTAAAAAACCGCTTTGTGGCAAAGCACTGATGAAATGTGTATTGGCCTGGCCAGGAAGCCTGAAGCACTCAGGTGATGTTTCTGTGGGGAGAGAGGAGAGCTCTGGAGGAGGAGACCAGGGAAGCACGTGCTCAGGAAGCTATGATCTGGCTGCCCGAAGGATGCCAAAGACTGCAGGAAGTAGAAACAGCAGGCGAAATCCCTTGGGTTCCCCTGCCACCCTTCAATTCTGTTTGTCAAAGTAGGAAGATTAGAATTTAAGTGCATTAGCTTGATTTATAGTATATTTAGACACATTTTAGAGCTTATAATCCTGTTTGTACCCTGCCGAAGGTCATGGTCAGGCCCTGGGCCTTCTCCTAGGATCAGATGCTTGAATGATGGCCTCAGAATTAGCCTGACCGTTCAGCAACGCCCTTGTCATTGCAGTGAGAACAGAGGCCACAGAGAAGTGACATGGGCTGTAGATGCCAGGAAGGATACCTGTGGGTTAAGTGGCCCTGCCAGCTGTGCCACCAAGGGGCATGCGGCCCTGCAGTTTTAGGGGGCAGGACCCCTTGGGCTTTCAGATTCCTGCCATCCTGAGAGGGGCCTGTCCCTTACCAAGTGGGCTGTGGAGGAGGCTTGCAGGACTAAGTGTGACTCCACACTGTCTGACCTTAGAGTGGTTCGCAGAGCCAGGAGGCTGATAGCATAGTGATGAAGACAGGAGTGTTGCCGACACAGATCATCCCCTCTGTGAAACAGGCCTTGTCACATGATGGTCTCCTGAGCACCTGAGGTGGTAACGGACTGCAGATGGAGTGCTCAGTGCAGGACCAGACACATCATGAACACGGAGTCACTGAAGGTGCGATGATGTCATCCCACATTCTCAGCTCAGGGACAATGTCCCTGTGTTGAGGACACTGGAAGGCTGAAGCCCTGGAAAGGAGTAAAGAGCCTTGTTCTGAGGGGAGGAACAGTCATTGCAGGCAGCCAGTGCGGGTCCCTGCTCTAGGGGCAGGAGGCTGGTGGGTGGGTCATGCTGCATTTGCAAGTCCTCACCTGGCCTTGTGACTTCTTCACAGACAGTGGTCTCACCCCAGTCTCTGCCCTGGGGCTCAGAGTCTAAACCCACCTCTCTCTCTTTGTCTGCACCACTCAGAAATAGCCGGGAATGTTTCCCTACTGGGTCAGGACAAGTACCGGGACTTTACACCAGTGTCCCTGCCAGCTGTATGTGAGAACGAGGAGAATGAGAACTAGTATTTTTCCTATGACTTTTTTTTTTTTCCCAGTACCAGCAACTGAACTCAGGACCTTGTGCTTGTCAGACAACCATGGCACCACTGATTTTTTTTAAGATAGAGTCTTGCTTTGTAGCCCAGGCTGGCCTTGAACTCACAGCAATTCTGCCTCACCCTCCCAAGTGCTGGGATTACAGGCATGCACCACTGCTATGAGTTTCTTGAACTCAAATTTTGCAATGCATAATTTGAATAACTAAATGTATCACCTATTGTAGCATTTTATAATTGATCTTAGCCAAAAGCCCAAGAAGCAATTATTGCAGCTTTTTTTTTTGGTACCGGGGTTCAAACTTGGGACCGTGTGCTTGTGGGGCAGGCAGCGGCACCACTGAGCTACATCCCCAGCCCTATTGCAGCTTTTTAAAGCAGTGAACTTTATACATTCCCAATTCCAGGTTTCATTATCTTTATGTATTTATTTATTGTTTTTATTTGTTTGAGACAGGGTCTCACTATGTAGTCCAGGCTGGCCTTGAACTCACAGCAATCCTCCTGCCTCAGCCTCCTGAGTGCTGGGATTGCAGGTGTGTGCCACCATGCCCAGTGTATTTTGGAATCTCCTTGTTCAATTCCAAAGAAATGTGATGGCCAAAGTTTCCAAAAAGGAACCTGGTTATTTCCAAAGTCTTTTTACAATGCAGAGCTAAATCAAGTAGTAACAATAAATTTCCACCTAAGAATTTCTCATTAAAAGAGTGGAATGAGGGCTGGGGATTTAGCTCAGTGGTTCTGGCGCCTGCCTCACAAGCATAAGGTCCCAAG